TTCCACTGCCTCCCGCAGTTTGGTCAAACTCATGCTGGTAGCTTCGAGAACACTGTCCAACCATCTCGTCCTCTGCTGTCCCCTTCTCCTTGTGCCCTCCATCTTTCCCAACATCAGGGTCTTTTCCAGGGAGTCTTCTCTTCTCATGAGGTGGCCAAAGTACTGGAGCCTCAGCTTCAGGATCTGTCCTTCCAGTGAGCACTCAGGGCTGATTTCCTTAAGAATGGATCGGTTTGATCTTCTTGCAGTCCATGGGACTCTCAAGAGTCTCCTCCAGTACCATAATTCAAAAGCATCAATTCTTCAGCGATCAGCCTTCTTTACGGTCCAGCTCTCACTTCTCTTCTTCTATGAAAATAGGTACATCCTAAATAATAATAATAATAATAATAATAATTTTGCCCCACCCATCTTACTGGGTTGCCCCAGCCACTCTGGGCAGCTTCCAACATATATCAAAACATAAACATTTTTTAAAAAAACTTCCTTATACAGGGCTGCCTTTCAATGTCTTCTAAAGGTGGTATGGTTACTCATCACCTTGGCTCAGGGGTCACATAACACATGTAAAGTGTAAACTGTGTGAGGAATTCCCCTCCCTCTCCCTACCCCCCCCCCCCCATGAGCTCTGCATAGAACAAACATCAGGAGTAACTGGACTCTACAGAACACAATTTAAAATGTAGAATGGGGCTTTTTTTTGGCAGGGTGAGGGACATTTATAAGTGCACAGTGGCTCCCGTTCCTCGCCTTTGCGCTATTTCCATGACTGCAATGCCTTGACTTCTCTTTTTGTGCAATGCTAACACACCTTCTTCTCTTGTGCTGCAAGGACCAAACATTTGCAATTCCAACCCGCTCGGAAGCTGATGAGCAGCCTCTGGTGGACGCAGTGCATAGGCAATGCGATGAGTAATTCATCTTTGCGTTCCTTCCAAGAATATTCTTATGCTCAAAGTAGGTCTGTAAATGTGGAGGCTTGGTGGGGTGATCTGCATACCTTCATACTCTCCAGAGCCAAATCTTATGGGGGGGCGGGGGGTTCACATTAAGCAATGTTGGGAAAGAGGAAAAAACTAAAATCCCAGTGCCAGAAATCCATTATCATGCTATCAGTTTCATAATTTTTGACCTGGCAATATACAGTGGACGCTCGGGTTGAGAACATGATCCGTGCGGGAGGCACTTTCGCAACCCGCAGCGTTCGCAACCTGCAGCACCGCGTCTGTGCACGCGCGGGTTGCAATGCAGCGCTTCTGAGCATGCACAAAGCGTGATTTAGCTCTTCTGCTCATGGTGCGACTGCCGAAACCCAGAAGTAAGCCCTTCCGGTACTTCCAGGTTTTGGCATGTCTGTAACCCAAAAAAACACAACCTGAAGCATCTGTAACCCGACTGTATTTCGAAGCACGATGTGTTATGCTATGCAAAAATCACCGTGTTGGGAAAACCGTGAAGCCAACTAATGCTTCTCTCGATTCTTGCAGCCCTTGCTAACTCTGCTGGCTTAGCTTTCCCCGCCTCCTAAAGGGGGCATCAAATCATGATGCAAGCGAAACCATGAAGCCAACCAAAGCCTCTATATAGCTCCATCTTTATTTCAGACTTTGTGATAAATTGGTATACAGTGGTACCTCGGGTTAAGTACTTAATTCGTTCTGGAGGTCCGTTCTTAACCTGAAACTGTTCTTAAGCTGAAGCATCACTTTAGCTAATGGGGTCTCCCGCTGCTGCTGTGCCGCCGGAGCACGATTTCTGTTCTCATCCTGAAGCAAAGTTCTTTTTTTAAAAAAAATAATATTTATTACTTTTCCAACAATTTAAACACTACAAAAACAATACAATACAATACAAAAACACTACATAACATTGACACATTAAACACATTGAACTAACAAAACAAAACAAAACAAAAACAATAAAATAAATCAAACAATTTCATTATCCCATCTTTCATTCACTTATTTCCACGACCTCCTCACACCTCCCTTTTTGTATTCCACTTCTGTTAATTGTTTCAGCAATTCCTTTCCATCTTCCTCTGTTTTCTATCCTATAATTATCTTAACACATTGTAACCTTATTTTTTCCTTTAATACTCTACTAATCTATTTATACTTAATTCCTTATAACATTTCTACTAAAGCCATATAACTTCATTCCAGCATTTTTCTAACATTCATTAATTTTACAGTATTTCTGTAAATAGTCTTTAAACTTTTTTCCAATCTTCTTCCACCAACTCTTCTCCCTGGTCTCGGATTCTGCCAGTCATTTCCGCCAATTCCATATAATCCATCAACTTCATCTGCCATTCTTCCCGGGTTAAGATCAAGTGTAGTATCTGAAGCAAAGTTCTTAACCCGAGGTAATATTTCTGGGTTAGTGGAGTCTGTAACCTGAAGCGTATGTAACCTGAAGCATATGTAACCCGAGGTACCACTGTATATCGCGATGTTTAGCTGGTGATGTATCGCAGTGTTGAAAGCCAGCTATCGCCCTGTTCTAATCAGGAGCAAGGAACTCATGGCTCTCCAAAGGTTGTTGGACTCCACTTCCCATCAGCCCCAACCAGCATGGCCAGTGGAGGAGGTAATGGGAATTGTTGTCCAGCAATACCAGAGGCAGCAGAACTGCCTTCCCTTAGAGCTACAACCAGCGTCATCAGTACAGTGATACCTTGGTTCTCAAACTTAATCTGTTCCAAAAGTCTGTTCCATAACCAAAGTGTTCCAAAACCAAGACGCGCTTTCCCATAGAAAGTAATGCAAAATGTATTAGTCCATTCCAGACTTTTGAAAACAACCCCTAAAACAGCCATTTAACATGAATTTTACTATCTAACGAGACCATTGATCCACAAAATGAAAGCAATAAACAATGTACTGCAGTCACACAATCAATCAACCAATCAGTAGCTGAACTGGGTTCCACACACTCACAGAAACAAAAATAAAGAGCGGCAAAAACAAAAAATGCAAAATAAATAGCAAAAACAGACAGATCTCAGTGTAAGACTCAAAACGGAAGTGTGGCACTCAAAATGGAAGCGTAACACTCAAAATGGAGCACATTCGGCTTCCGAAAAAGGTTCGCAAACCAGAACACTTACTTCCGGGTTTGCAGTGTTTGGGTTCCAAGTTGTTTGAGTACCAAGGTGTTTGAGAACCAAGGTACCACTGTATTAGGTTTTAGGTGTCTGTTTTGGGCAGTTAGACCAACCTCTTTACTCAAGGCTTTGGGGAAGTTGACCTGACAAAGCTGAACAGTAAATTAATTGATGGGTGTTGTTTGTACAGTTCACTTTTAAATCAACTGCTTAAAAGTGAGTTTTAGTGTTTTGAAGGTTTTGGGAGGTTTTGTCTGTGTTGTAGATTGCCCTGGGATCACAAGTGATAAAAAGTGGTTTGGAAATTGAATGAACATATAACAAAAGGCAGCTTTTTTTGGAAAGGAGACCTTCTAGGCAATTCAGTGTCATTAACTCTCTCCTGTCCATCTCTCCCCCCCCCCCCAATCTTCCAACAATCTGTTCAAACATGATGTTCCCACTAAAAAACAAACAAACTTGCATGCAAACAAAAATAAATCTGTCCTCAGATATCAGAGTACAAAGAAACCCAAAACAAATCATGTTCGTCCCATGACTTCATTAACTAGTTATAAGCGAGTATCCTCACCTCAATAGCCTCATCTGTAAAATGGGTACAAAAACGATGAGACTCACTGTTTCCTTGCAGAATTGAAAAAAAGGTATTGAAAAGTGTAATGTGCACAGAGGAAAACTACATGAAGGGAGGGGGAATGCCCCCCCAAAAAGCCCATTTGCCCAATGAAAAACATTGCTTTGTGGGGGGGGCAGGGTTCTGAATGGAGCAGCTAAACATCGCTCCGTGTACCCAAAGAATTTTGGCAATATTTTTGGACCCACCATGAGGACTGCCCAAAAGATTCCAACACTTTAGAAACTCAGAAACTTTACTTTTTCTCCCTCGCTATGTTCATTTCCTTTTTGAGAAACTCTTCAGAGGCAGGACTGCTAACCATTTGGACAGATCTCCCTGAAGAACATCAGCAGTCAGGTGACCATCTGACTGTTTACGAACCTACTGCTTACATAAGGTTTATGTGCAGTAACAGTGAGGGATAGTTGTTCCTCGCTATCCTGTAGAACTGGCTGGTGTGAGCACAATGAAATGTGAAAGCCAAGGTCCTTACATCAGAGTGTTGCATAAGGATCAGCTGGAGATTCCACTGCAATGTTTCATAAAGTATATATAGAAGCACAGTGAACGGTTAGCTCTACAACAGGCACACTTGATGTCAAAGAGCCTTCACGGTTAGACCTATATTTAGGATTCATGCAAGCTTCGTCCAAGCACAGAGTTTGGAACTAAGTACAAAATTCGCCAGCCCAGGCTTTGGATTTCTTTTAAAACAATAACAATCAAGTTTCTAGCCCTTATGATGGGGTTTAATGGGTGTGGGCTACTCCTGGTGAAATTTCAAAAGGCAGATAGATACATCCAGTGCTAGTTCTACTCAGAGCAGATACACTGAAATTAATGAAACTAAGTTGGTAAAGTCCATTAACGACAGCGGGCCTACTCTGAGTAGGTCTAGCATTGACAGTGGAAACAAGAAATGAACAATTGCATGGTCGGGCCAGACTACAGTCCATCCAATTCAACGTTCTGTTCCCAATAGCAGCAGGCCAGAAACCTCTGGAAGTTACCGTCAAGTTGTAAAGGTAATGGCCAGTGTTTGTAGTTTATTGCAAACATCAGATGTTCAAAGCTCCATCACCTCATTCTGAGTTCTGGGCATGCAGTCCTCCATTCTCTGTGTCCACATTACTTCTTTAGACCCTCTCCTTCAAAAAAATGCCTATTCCAAAGATCCACATTTTTCCAATGTGCCAGGAAAACCTAGCTGTCAAGTGTGGATTTCAGAATTCCACACCTCAGTGAAGCCTAGCTTGTAGCTCTGGTACCAAATCAGCTTGGATAGCTCAGTTGGCTAGAGCACAGTGCTGACAATGCTAAGGTTGCAGGTTTGATCCCCATATGGGACAGCTGCATATTCCTGCATTTCAGAGGGTTGGACTAGATGATCCCCAAAGTCCCTTCCAACTCTCTGGTTCTAAGAAAGCGTGTGTTCTTCTACCCAGTGATGAAAGAGGACGGGAACAGGCAAGGACAGAGTAACAGCCGATCATTATGGGAGTTAACATGCAAATCCACTTTGATCACTGACTCTTCAAGTCGAACAGGTACATCAGTATTTATTATAAATCAGGCACTCAGTTGCAACTGAAATTCCTAGAAGAGGTTCAGAAGTGGTTAAATTAGGACTGTGCTTTCTGATTTTGGTTTCCAGGGCAAAAGTAGTGCTTCCAGGCCCTCTTAAACGGTTGGCTCTCCTCAAAACCCTCCGATATACGATATATACGATATACGATATCTTTATTGTCATTGTCCCTTGCGGAACAATGAAATATAAAACTACATAAGAACTACATAAAACTACCACAAAACTACATAAGAACTACATAAAACTACTACAAAACTACATAAAACATTCAAAAACCCCTAAAAACTCTAAAACTCCATTTTAAAATACACTATACTACAGAGACCCCTTATGCTGCGTTTAGAACCAGAATTGCATTAGCGTAGAAACTGTTTTTCAGGCGGCTAGTCCTGGCCTTTATAACCCATCTGTTCACACCCATTGTTTCCCCCAATATGCTGCTATGCCCCAGACACTTCTCCCCCTTTTAGGGTGCTTTCTCCTTAATGATCCCAGCCAACCAGGGATCAAGTAGTAAATGCAATGACATCACAGTCAGATTTGACAGCTTTTGACATCACCAAGGGCGAACTGCGACTGATTTACATTGAGAGCAAACCTTCCTAGAATGGTACCCTGGCAGTTCTTATCGAATAAAAAAGGTAAAGGACCCCTGACAGTTAAGCCCAGTCGCAGACAATTCTGGGGTTGCGGTATTCATCTCACTTTACAGGCCGAGGGAGCCGGCATTTGCCCGCAGACAGTTTTTCCAGGTCTTGTGGCCAGCATGACTAAGCTGCTTCTGGTGAAACAAGAGCAGCGCACGTAAATGCCATTTACCTTCCTGCCAGAGAGGTACCTATTTATCTACTTGCACTTTTTGGCGTGCTTTCGAACTGCTAGGTTGGCAGGAGCTGGGACTGAGCAATGGAAGCTCACCCCATCGCGGGGATTCGAACCACCGACCTTCTGAATGGCAAGCCCAAGAGGCTTAGTGGTTTAGACCACAGCACCTTCCTTGTGTAGCAACCCATGAAAGACCATTAAAAGCAAGGGGTTTGTTTCCATCTTAACGTTGCTGAATATCACCTTTCCTAGCTCAGCCCAAGTTTAAAGACAGGCATAGGGAGTTTTACAGCAAACCATTTAGTGGGCTTTTGAGGCTGAGCACATGCTGTAGCATTGAAACACATTAAAAACACACCATATACCTCAACTTGGGTGCCATAGTTTGTGAAGGGTTGCTGGGAAGTGTGACTCTGTGAGGCAGCGGTTCTCAACCTGTGGGTCCCCAGATGTTGTTGGACTACAACTCCCATCATCCCTGAACTCTGGCCTTGCTAGCTAGGGTGATGGGAGTTGTAGTTCAACAACATCTGGGGACCCACAGGTTGAGAAAGGCTGCTGAGGGGTAAACAAATTACAGTGCCCATAATTCTTTGAGGGGGATGTGGGTGGCTGTGTGGGTTAAACTACAGAGCCTAGGGCTTGCTGATCAGAAGGTCAGCAGTTCGAATCCCCGTGACTGTTGGTTTCTGTTTTCCTTCACTGTGCAGCTCTGCTTGTCACGAGACAGGTGTTTACATTCCACAGTCTGTACTGTTGGAGTTTCTCACGGGAAAGGGAGACTGGATGTGACGTACACTGGTTTCCTGTTTTTCACTGTGTGATTCTCTCCGAGCTGTTGAGGAGAGAGGATGCATTTCTCTGCTCCGGCAGAGGCAAGATGTCTTTCTGTAATATACCAGCTTTGAACTGTAAATAAAGCAATATAGAGTATGTAGCACGTACTCCTCATCCTTCCGCTGGGCACGGGAGACTCTGCTTAAATCAACACGTGGTTATGGGCTCCAGAAGTCGAATCGGAGTGCCGGCAAAGGATCGGAATGCAGAGGGACAGATCGGAACGGAATCTGCTCTGCGCGTAGAAGTGATTGATGAGGTATGTGCTACTGCTCCGGGCAGCCTGCCAGCTTCAAGTTAATGGCTTTATGGCTGGACTTTGAACTTTTAAAGCCGGTTTGCCGGGAATAGGCAAAAGGCTCCCAGGCACAAGTCACTATGCTGGGAAATCGAAGTAACTTTTAAGTGTGCCTTTGTAATATGGCAGCTGCAGCAGTGACGCAGCAAGATTTAAAGCAGCATATATGACGCTGAAGGCTAATGCCAGAGTCATGATGGCCCTTCAGGATGCTTGTGGGATTCCTAAGCTCAACAAGAAAAATTACAGCGACTGGGTTCAGTATGCAGAGGCAATTCTGCGGAAAGAGGGTTTGTTTGAGGTGATTACAGGAACCCCCAGTTCCAGTTACAGATGCATGGGAAGCTAAGGATTCCAAAGCAAGGGAACTCTTACATTGATAGTATCCCCAGAAGAGCTCTGTCTATTGCGTGATAAGACCTCAGCCAGAGAAATTTGGGACGCTTTGAGAGAGGCTCACTTAAGGACAGAAGCTGGATCCACTATGTTTTACTTTAACAAGCTGCATAATATGGCTCTTGCTGAAGGTGGAGATGTGCGTTTACATCTGATGGAGATGCAAAATCTGAGACATGAGCTGCAACAGAGAGGACTCAACTTTCCAGAGGCTGTGTATTCTTTCATGATACTACAATCTTTGGGTTCAGGTTGGGAGTCTGTTGCAACCCAGATTGCTGTGCAACCAACTGCTCAGCTGACAGTGGACTTTGTTACTGCCGTGATTTTAAATGAAGCAGATCGCCGGGGTGCTAGCTGCATGGGCAAGGGAGTCTTCACAGACGTCATCCCATAGTGCAGTGGAACCACCAGATGGCGCCAAAGCTTTGAAGGCAGTGAAATGCTACTCGTGTGGACGTCTAGGCCATATGAAGAGGGAATGCAGACATCCCAGGGCCAAGACAGAGCAGCGCAGCGAAGGCTCATCACGCGGAAAAGGCCGAGGCAAAGGCAACGGTCCGGTGTCTAGGACAACGCAGCACAAGGCTATGGTTTCACGCTTCACTCCAAAGGTTGCAGAGGTCCAGAAGACGTCTAGATCTTTCTTCGTTGTTGATTCAGCGGCCACCCACCACATGTGCAACGATAAGAGACTGTTTGTGTCTTTTACACCGCAGGAAGGTGCGATTCACCAGGCGGATGACCACACTATTCCCAGTAAAGGCTACGGAACTGTTGTTCTTCACAGTTTGGACTTATCGATACAGAATGTGCTTTACGTGCCAGACGCCAAACATAATCTGCTCAGCGTTGGACAGCTGAATGAGCGGAACATTGACGTTTCCTTCAAGAACAAGAAGTGCATCATCACAAAGAAAAATGATTATGTATTGCATGCAGAATATGTTGATCGTTTGTTTGTTTTGTATTATGATGATGTGGTGCAGGATGACACTTGTTGCATTGCAGGTTCTAACAAAAGTTTGCATGCAGAATGTATTCACGATTTTCATCGAAAATTTGGTCATTTGCATTTTGAGGCAGTATCTAAAATGCCTGCCTTGGTTGAAGGTATGACTATTAAACCCTGCAGGTACCACATGAAGTGCAAAGCATGCGCAGCAAACAAGGTGAAAATGGCTGCGAAAGGTAAGGTGTCTAGTAGGAAAGCTACAGAACCATACCAGGTTGTTCATGCTGATTTGGTTGGACCACTAGCGCCCTCTTTGGGTGGAAATAGATACTTCATGGTTCTCATTGATGCATTTTCTAGATATATTTTTGTGTACAATCTCAAGCAGAAATCGGAGGCTTTTCCTAGGTTCAAGGAATTCTGTGCTTGGTTGGAAAATGTGCATGGTAAGAAGATAAAGACTCTTTTCAGTGATCGCGGGGGAATTCACTTCTCAGCAGTTTGAAGCTTTTCTGACTGAGAAAGGAATTCAACACGATTTGTCTAGTCCTCGCTCGCCATGGCAGAATGGACTTGCGGAGCGGGCAAATCAGACATTGCTTCAAGGGTTAAAAACCTTGCTGCATGATGCCAATCTTCCAGAGAGTTATTGGGCCGAATCTCTCTCGTGTTTTGTTTACAGTTACAATCGCAGGTTATCTTCAGCGATTGGTTGTACCCCTATGAGAAGATGTTTGGCAAGAAGCCATACATCAAACACATGAAGATTTTGGTTCTGACATGTGGGTTCGCTCACCACAAAACTCCAAGTTAGACAAGCGTGGATTGCATGGTATCTTTCTAGGTTATCAGAAAGGGTCTTACAGAATAATGATGACTGACTCTAAGACAATTAAGCTCACGAGAAGTGTTGAGTACAATGCAAAGTGGGGGAGAATGTGGGAATTTTCCAATGTTATCCTGATGACGGTGATGAGACTGAGGATAGTCAAAAGCAACCACAACAGCCCACACCCACTGATGAAGGTTCTGAGTCTGAATCTGAAACTGAATCGGGTGATTCAGAGGATTTCGAGAGTGCGAAAGCCTCTATGCGACCCTCTGAAAGCTCTGATCAAGAATTGGAGGAACCATTGTTCACAATAGGTCGTTTTTCTCCTAAGAAGGAAGAGGAGAGTGTTGAAGACTTAAGGCTAATTCGTAGGTCACAGAGAGCCAAGGCAAACCTCCAAAGAGATTTGCTGATGAGTTTGCTAAGATAGCAGTAACAGCTGTTAAAAGCTCCAAGAAGGTATTTGAACCTTCAAGTTTCCAAGAAATCCAGGGTTTGGATTCAAAGGAAGCTGAGCCATGGTTAAATGCCATGAAGGCTGAGCTTGATTCCTTAGAAAGGAACAAAACATGGGAGCTAGTTCCAGTAGTTCCAGGAATGAAACTGCTTGGAAGCAAATGGGTCTTCAAAGCGAAGACAGATCAAAATGGCAAGATAGTCAGACACAAAGCCAGATTGGTAGCCAGAGGTTTTGCACAGGTACCAGGTCAAGACTATCACGAGACCTATTCACCCACAGTGAGATATGAAAGCATTAGGCTTATGCTCAAGCTAGCTGCAGAGGAAAATCTACACATTAGTCACCATGATATTAATACAGCTTTTCTGTACGGATCTCTAGATGAATCACTTTATATGCTTCCACCTGATGGCGTACAGGTAAAACAGGGATTTGTTTGTGCTCTGAAGAAATCCCTTTATGGTCTCAAACAAAGTGCACGGTGTTGGCACACAAAACTCACTGAAGTATTGTTTTCTCTAGGTTTTCAGCAAGGAAAGCTGATCCATGTGTATTTGTCAAGAGGAGGGGCAAAAGAAACTGTACTGTTTGTTTTATGTTGATGATTTATTATTCTTTTGGAAAGATGTTGCAATGTACAATAGCGCCTAGCTCAACTGAAAGAGCACTTTGACATGAAAGATCTTGGTGAGGTAAACAACTACCTATCTCTGGAAATGAGAGAGATCAAGATGGTAACATTCTAGTACACCAGTCACGGAAAATTGCTGATGTGTTAAGCAAACTAAATCTGATGGATGCTAACCCTGTAGACACACCGATGACAACAGGTTATCAGGTAGATGACACTGAAGAAGCATTTTCTGACACTACACTGTACAGGAGTGTGCTAGGCAAGCTAAACTTCATTGCCAGATGTTCAAGACCAGACATTGCTGTTAGCTGTAATTTGCTAAGCAGACAAGTCAACAATCCTAGTGTCAAGGATTGGAAAGCTCTGAAACGCATAGCGCGGTATTTGAAAGGCACTATGCATTACAGACTGAGATTTAACAATCAGAAGTCTGGTGGTCTTGAGATATTTGCAGATGCAAGTTTTGGAAGTGACGCTACAGACAGGAAAAGTACGTCTGGAGTTTGCTACATGTACAATCAGAGTCTGTTTGATTGGTCATGCAAGAAGCAAACAACAGTTAGCTTAAGTACTTGTGAAGCCGAACTGAATGCACTGTCTTATTCACTTAAGGATTGTGAATGGTTAGTACAATTGTGCAAAGATATGAAAATTCCTGTCAAATGTCCAATCCAGGTTTACCAGGACAACAAAGCATGTTTGGCTTTGCTGAAGTCTGAAGGTTGTAAGCAAAGCACAAAGCACTTGCAATTAAAGTTGCAGCATGCTAGGGAATGTATTCAGAAGGGACTCGTAACGGTGTCCTATATGCCAGGTAATGAAATTCCTGCTGATGTATTGTCCAAGATTGTATCAAGGGATCAACACTGTACCTATGTGCAGAAGTTGGGTTTGTACTGATATTGTACGAACACGCTGCCCAGTGATGTTCACAGAAAGGGGAGGATGTTGGTTTCTGCTTTCCTTCACTGTGCAGCTCTGCTTGTCACGAGACAGGTGTTTACATTCCACAGTCTGTACTGTTGGAGTTTCTCACGGGAAAGGGAGACTGGATGTGACGTACACTGGTTTCCTGTTTTCACTGTGTGATTCTCTCCGAGCTGTTGAGGAGAGAGGATGCATTTTCTGCTCCTGCAGAGGCAAGATGTCTTTCTGTAATATACCAGCTTTGAACTGTAAATAAAGCAATATAGAGTATGTAGCACGTACTCCTCATCCTTCCGCTGGGCACGGGAGACTCTGCTTAAATCAACAGTGACAGGGTGAGCTCCCATTGCTCGGTCCCAGCTCCTGCCAACCTAGCAGTTCGAAAGCACGTCAAAGTGCAAGTAGATAAATAGGTACCGCTCCAGCGGGAAGGTAAACGGCATTTCCGTGCACTGCTCTGGTTCGCCAGCAGTGGCTTAGTCATGCTGGCCACATGACCAGGAAGCTGTACGCCGGCTTCCTCGGCCAATAAAGCAAGATGAGTGCCGCAACCCCAGAGTCGTCCACGACTGGACCTAATGGTCAGGGGTCCTTTACCTTTAATTCTTTGAGGGAAATAGTGTGTTTGATATGTGCTTTGAAGGTATATTGTGCATGCAGCCTGACTCTCTAAATCAGAGGTTGGAAGATTGTGGTCCTGAAGATGCTGCTGAGGTACAGTTAGCCTCAACATTGACCATTGGCCATACCGGATGGGGCTGATGGGATTTGGAGTCCAACAACATCTGAGGGGCCCAGATTCAAACTCAGAGGAGCAGTCACTACTTGCTGCTGCTACACCAGAAACAGCAGGATCTGCATAAGAGAAGAAGAAAAGCCCTGAGAGATGGAGGGAGATGGAGCCCAGAAACGATGACAACTGGAAGCCTTTCTGCCACAGCCACGTTTGGTATCACTTCAGAATGTGGCAAACTTTCAATACTCAAATTCAATTTGGAAGTGTTGAGGCAAACTGTTCTTTTTTAAAAAAAAACAACAACACAGTAAACTTCCCTCGTTCTGAATCAGCATGATCAACATCAGTCCCTTTTCTTTCCCCAAATGAGGAAATGTTTGCGTGAGAATTTTAATGTCCTCCGATTTGTAGCTGCCCAAAGAACAATAGCATGGAATCTGTTCTCAGCAATAGAAGATCAAATGTCAAACTAAACACGCAACGACCCTCCCTTGTAGGCGAGCTGACGAGACGTGAGAAATTAAGAGCCGACCCAACAAGTGGTTAGGCATGTTTGGGTTTTTTTTGTTCCCCACCCGCCACCTGTGGAAGCTCCAATTCTGTAAAAGGAAACGAAAAATTTCCCATCTTAATGGTAGATGCCTTATTGGGGGAGGGAGCTGTTTTGTTCCTGTGATTGACTGACTTTGACCAACTAGACCGAGCTGTAATTATGGGGAAACAATCAAATCTCTATGTGGAGTTGGTGGCAAACCTGTGCGGCCACTTCTTTGTGTTATAGCAGAACCTGTTTAGCAGCTTCAGTACCAGCGAACCTCCTTTCTGCTGCTGGGTTAAAGAAACGCAAACCTGTACAGCAAGTTTGACCGAAATGCAAAAAAAAAAAAAAGTCTTATTGTCTGTGCAAATTTACCCACATTGCTCTCTCCTATCTCTGCCGTGTTCACAACCTCTCTTTTTGTTTCTCTGTCATCATGACTAGATAGAGCGACAAAGTCACAGGTATCAAGGTGGGAAGGGGAGGGGAAGAGAGAGAGAAGACAGACGAAGAGACGCTCCGGTCTGATGTGAGTATTTGCTATTGCACTTGAGATGGGTTTTATCTAGTGACTTCCCTTGCTAGCATAGCATATGGCTTGGGGGGGGGGACCCAGAACCGATGCTGGCATTGTGCCCATGTAATGCAAACGGATCCAGGAACTGAGGCTAATGCGTGTTCCACAAGGCACAAGCCCTTGAAAATGAAACGTTGGTTTCGTTACCTGCTTGGATGGTCAATATATGCTAGATTTGTCTGAGTGGTTCTGTAGGGGTTCGAGAGATATTCGAAATCTGCTGGTATCAGACTTTGCTCGTTGGTTTTGTCAATCTGTTCTTGCACAATGTTATCACATATCTGTCCGGCTGTCCACCATTGGAAACAGGATAGTGGTCTAGGTGGGTCAATCTGCCCCTGCAAGGTGATTTCTTCCTTTCTTATTTCTTGCATATGTTTGGAGCACAGATATTCCCTGTTCATGTTAAGGTGATCTTGCCCCTTTTAAGGCGATCTGGCACCGAACTGCTTACTGGTTTTCTCATTCTGCTGGGAAACGGATAGAAAAGTTTGCATGCTTTTAAAATGAGTGGCAGTCGGCATTGAAAACAATATTGCACATCCTACACTGTGTGTCTGTAAACGGGGCAAAGTACGGGTGTGGGGGAACGAGCCTTGCATAAAACCAAGAGTCCATCCCCTCTTGTGTGCTTTTTCATAGAGTTGTCCGTCAGCCAGAGGCTTCTAAGAAGCCCACAATAGGGCTCAAAGGCAACTGTCCCTCTCTCATTATTCCTCTGTCCCAGCAATAAGGGTATACTGCCTCTGAACTTGGGAGCTTCATTGATGACCAAAATAGCCAACTAATAGCAACAACAAAACATCCCTTTCTGCCCAAAGGATAAAGTGTTCAAGCATTAACATGAACAATCTGTTTCAGTCAAAATCAATTCTGATTTAATTTTTAGATTTCAGAGTTTCTATAGCTCAGCTAACATGTGGCGGGGAGCAAGGGTTTTTTGAGTGCTGAGCTCTTGGGGAATATGCATTTATCAGACTCAAAGCACCTGTTTTTTAAGAAAATCACAGGAGGGGTTATAGCTCACTGGTGAAATGCATATTTTGCTTTCCAAAGGTCCCAGGTTCTGCCCCAGGTATCTTCAGGTAGAGCCGTGAAAGATACCTGGGCAGGTGTTGCCATTCAGTGTAGACGAGTGTTTCTCAAACTTGGGTCGCCAGCTGTTGTTGGACTACAACTCCCATCATCCCTGACCGCTGGTCCTGCCAGCTATGGATGATGGGAGTTGTAGTCCAACAACAGCTGGAGACCCAAGTTTGAGAAACACTGGCACTGTAGACCATATTGCACTACACAGACCAATGGACTTCCTATGTGGAAAGGTTGTAGATCAGTGGTAGGGCCCTTGCTTTGAGTGCAGAAGGTCTCAGGTTCAATTTTAGAGACCTCTCTCTAAAATTCTGACTTTGGCATGTCAGCTAACCTGTGTGCTCGATATCGTAATCCAAAGCTGTGGTGAACAGGATTGTTGCAAATCCATACCGGGAGAGGCTGTTCCTTGCAACCTATTTCGTTCTGTGCAGAAATAGCAGCGTCCCCAGTCAGCTGAAACTTCATTCATGGGCAGAAGGGCATGAATCTTCTGCCAATCAGGATATGCCAAGCATCTGAAGCTGCCTTAGGTGGTGCAATGGGTCAGCGCGTCTGGTTGCTAACCAGAAGGCTGGTGGTTTGAGCCCAGCCACGGATGACTGGGCAGGAATCTTGCAATGCTTTTTTTAAAAAATACGTTTTTTTAAAAAAGGATTCCTGCTAACATATAGAATAAGAGAACAAGAAGAACATAAGTTTAAAGAAGATTGGAAAATATTTATTGAATATATGGAGGAAAACTGTGTTTATTTGAAAACGTGGGCAGCATTAAGATAAATTCAACAGCATAAATAAGTTTTGACGGATGTAATAATGGAATACTGAATAGCTTAGTTTATATAAAATATGCAGGGATTTATGTTTTGTAAAATGAACCATGGAATGAGAAGAAGGGAAGTCATTGATATTTTAAATGAATATTCTAAAATGTAAAATAGAAAATTTAATAAAAATAGGGGGTGAAGATTCCTGCATTGCACAGGGTTGGACTAGATGACTCTCAGAGTCCCTTACAACTTTACAATTCTATGGTTCTAAGTCAGACCACTGGTCCATCTAGCCCAGTTCTGTCTACACTGACCATCAGCAGCTCTCTAAGAATTCAGGCAAGGGTCTTTCCTGCTCTGCTACCCAAGGGCCTTTTTAGTGGATGTAGCACTGTGGGTTAAACCTCAGAGCCTAGGACTTGTTGATCAGAAAGTCGGTGGTTCGAATCCCCATGATGGGGTGAGCTCCCGTTGCTCGGTCCCTGCTCCTGCCCACCTACCACTTTGAAAGCATACCAGTGCAAGTAGATAAATAGGTACCACTTCAGCGGGAAGGCGTTTCCGTGCGTTGCTCTGGTTCGCCAGAAGCAGCTTAGTCATGCTGGCCACATGACCGGCTCCCTCAGCCTATAGAGCGAGAGGAGCGCCGCAACCCCAGAGTCGGCCACGACTGGACCTAATGGTCAGGGGTCCCTTTACCTTTACCTTTTACCTAGCCAACCAAACCATCCACACATAAAGCCCAGGCTCCATATTGGAGCTAAAGACACACCCACACACTCAGTAGCAACTCATTTTCAGAGGCCAACTGTATCTTTATTCCATTTAGCTGCCATGGTCACGACAGTGAAACCATGCCCTTTGTTTCGAGGAAGGTGGTGCAGAGGCAGTGCGGTGTAGTGGTTAGCATGTTGGACTAGGACCTGGGAGACCAAGGTTCAAATCCCCATTCAGCCACAAAGCTGGCAGGGTGACCTAGGTCCAGTCGCCCTCCTCCCCCAGCCGAAACCACCTCACAGGGTCATTCCTCATGAGAAGGGGGGAATCTTGTACACCTGCTTATACTCCTTGGGGGGGGGAGGTGGGGTATATATATATATAATAAATGAATTTAAGAATTGCCACAAGCTCTCTCCCCCTCAAGGCAGGTTATTTTGCCCTCTCCTTAATTCTGTCCCTTTCCACTCATCTTCTGTGATCGCCGAGTTTAGATCCTGGGATGATAGCTCAGTTGGTGGAGCAGGAGTCTCTTGGGGTCGTGAGTTCAAGCCCCACATGGGGCGAAAGATTCTTGCATTGCAGTGGGTTGGACTTGTGGTTGGTCCCTTCCAACTCTGCCGTTCTATGATTCTATGATCCACCCTGTCCATCTCTTTGGCTTGATCAGGGCTTGGTTTCAGAAGCAACCGGTCCTGCCGCATTGCGAGTTAGCATGAGTTTTTGGGATGAGGAGGCGGTGGCTCTTGTTGCTTACTCTGGTTCTGAGACTGGCCCTGCAGCTTTCTCTCTCCATCTTGCCTGCCTGGATATCGTTAAGGCAAAAGGGTTGCCCTAGCACTATAGGCAGTGCCGAGAAAGAGAGAATGCACTGGGTGGGGACCCACGAAATGAGGCCGGTAGTCTCTGCTCTACCTGCTGGGTGACTACTTGGTGCAAGCTGCCTTGATCAACTGCCTCCGTGATGGTGTTGCAGCCAGCTAGCCATCTGCAGCGAGGCAGCTAACGCACATAGCAAGCCACATGCCATTAACCTCCTTTGCCCATCCACTTCATAAAAAGTGTCAGCGCCAACGAAACACTGGTAGGTAAAGGAATTGGGCAGCGGAGAGATTTGATTCCATTGGCATATAAAGGTGAATCTGTCAAATTCTCACCTCTTGCAACCAAAACACAATCACCCTTCAAATTTCGCACTTATCCCAATTTTGCAAACAGTGTTTGCCAAAATGTACGGCTTAGGGGGGGGAATGTGCATCGCCATGAACATATTGATGAAAATAACATACAAAGGCACTACAAATTGCTTTCAGAAATGTGTGCATCAGTCTAAACTACATACACAAATGTCTTATTGGGAGAAATTCCCACTAAAATGCTGGTAAGTTCTCATGAGAGTTTTTTGGGCTTTTTTAATCAGAAGAACTGAATTTAAGATTGACGGGGGGAAATGATTAAGATTAACATTCAAAAAACCCTGACCTCCAAGCAGCACTTATTTATTTATCAAAAGTTACATGTGCAGCTAATTAAACTTGCTTCCAAATATTGTAATGCTGTAGTGCTAAAATGAGAAGTATCAACTAGCACAGGATTTGGGGGGGTTGTTTTTCAAGTAACAGTATCTTTTTAAAAAATAATAATAACTGTGCAAAATTCAGAAATGCCACTAGTCCTCAGTGTGCCAAACTGTGTTGTATTGGTGCCAGGGAGTGCTGAATGTTTTCCAGTACACTAGGGAAGCTCGAAGCAGCAAATAATTCTGATTGCCTTGCTAGAAATGCAGATTGTAGACAATTTGAGAAGGAGGATGTGTCTACATTTGTGCAAGTCTTTCAAACAGCTACAGACTGGGCAGGCACTACTGCCCCGTTCACAAACACAAACCCAGCAGGGTAAACATTGATGCCCCGGGGTGTGATCCCACACTGCTGTGGTGTTCATTTTATTTATTATTGCATTTAGTGTAGTGGTTAGGAGTGGTAAACTCATAATCTGGGGAACTGGGTTCGCGTCTCCGCTCCTCCACATGCAGCTGCTGGGTGACCTTGGGCCAGTCACACTTCTCTGAAGTCTCTCAGCCCCACTCACCTCACAGAGTGTTTGTTGTGGGGGAGGAAGGGAAAGGAGAATGTTAGCCGCTTGGAGACTCCTTCGGGTAGTGATAAAGCGGGATATCAAATCCAAACTCTTCTTCTTCTTTATGTCCTCCATGTGCAATACGCGGGTCTCCCCCTTCCCATCTTCACAACAACCCTGTGAGGTAGGTTAGGCAGAGAGCTAGGCCACTCAACACTAAACATCAGGGGGAACTTTCTGGAGATAAGAGCTGTCCGACTACCTTGGACTCCCCTTCCTTGGAGGTCTTCAAGCAAAGGATGGATGGCCATCTGTCAGGGATGCTTTCGTTTCCTGCATTGCAGGGGGTTGGACTGGATGACCCTCAGGGTCCCTTCCAACTCTACAATTCTATGATTCTACCCCCTGAGCTTCACGGCTGAGGATGGGTTTGAACCCTGGTCTCCCAGGTCCTTGTCCAAGACTCTAATCACTGCAGTGAACAAGGGACGTGGATGGTCTCTGTCTCCTATTATCAACCAGGCAGGTAAGAAGCTGGTCCTGTCCATGTGAGTCACACCTATACCATAGTGTCCCTGGGATAGCACAGTGTGAATGTGGTTCACATACCCCAGTGGGAAGAGGGCCTTGATATGTATTCAACCTCAGCTCGGGATCCTGCTAAACCAGAATCACTTGCGGTTGTAGCTTCTTCATTTGCATAGTCACAGAGCCAGGTTGCTTTGGCAAGCCTGCGACTTTCCTGTTTAAAAAGCCATTATTACTGGTCTTGTTCCACTGTTACTCTTCCTCCACAGTTCATGTCCTTATTGTCAATTAAAGGTGGTTGTGAACATTGAACCCTGTTGGGTGTTTTGTGCAAGAACAGTCCTATCAGGCAGTGTAACCTTTTTGATCTTGCTTTTCCCCTTTCTGCACAAAATCTCAGTTGGTTTATGTAAGAGGAGCAATAATGCGCTATACATGTGGATTCCAAATCAGGTCAAGTTAAAATAGAATGTAGACATATGTGCCAAGCAGTAACATCCCAATAAAAGTATAATGAACAAATTAAAGCATGCAAAATGAAAAGAAGGGGGGAAAGCCATTATTAATAGCTCCTAGAGAGCCACTAGGTGGAATACTTACTTGCCCATTCCCCCAACCCTCGAAAAACAGCCAGGAAGATAAGGAAGAGCTCAGAATATCCCTAAGCTATTCACACAGTCCATGTTTAAAAATAACATACCACTGGGGCACTGAAGACTTTCCAACATTTCTCAGATCAAAATAGGGAGACCTTGAGCCAATTGCAACCTCTCCACTGAACCTACCTCACAGGATTGTGTACAACACCTTCCACAGATAAATGGAATGAAGTAAGATTTTAGCTGTAAGCTGCCTTAAGTCCCTGTCAGGGAAATAATAATAATAAATAATAATAATAATAATAATAATAATAATAGAAACTGTGAGAATGATCAGGAACAAACCAGGGAGTAAATCCTATTGAACTCAGTGGCACTTAAAGGTAAAGGGACCCCTGACCATTAGGTCCAGTCGTGACCGACTCTGGGGTTGCGGCGCTCATCTCGCTTTACTGGCTGAGGGAGCCGGCGTACAGCTTCCAGGTCATGTGGCCAGCATGACTAAGCTGCTTCTGGCAAACCAGAGCAACGCATGGAAACGCCGTTTACCTTCCCGCCGGAGCGGTACCTATTTATCTACCGTATTTTTCGCTCTATAAGACGCACCAGACCACAAGACGCACCTAGTTTTTGGAGGAGGAAAACAAGAAAAAAAATATTCTGAATCTCAGAAGCCAGAACAGCAAGAGGGATTGCTGTGCAGTGAAAGCAGCAATCCCTCTTGCTGTTCTGGCTTCTGGGATAGCTGTGCAGCCTGCATTTGCTCCATAAGACGCACACACATTTCCCTTTACTTTTTAGGAGGGAAAAAGTGAGTCTTATAGAGCAAAAAAGACAGGAGCAGGGACCGAGCAACAGGAGCTCACCCCGTCGTGGGGATTCAAACCACCGACCTTCCGATTGGCAAGTCCTAGGCTCTGTGGTTTAACCCACAGCGCCACCCACGTCCCACACTGGGACTTAGTGCTGAGTAAAAATGTTTAGGATTGCAGTATAAGGCTTCACAGCCTTCACCCAGTTACCTGGTAGCAAGCTCCATTGAAAAATTAACTCCCCACATTTTCTAAGAAATGGCTGGCTACTGCAATGTTGCAATTAAAGAATTTAAAGTGGTTTGGTGACCTTTTCCTCCAAAATTATTGGAAGGGCTTCACCATTTCCTTCATTTGGCGTAAGGCTTTTATTTTCCATATAAACAGAACTCCGGTTTTTTGCATCTACACCCACCCCACTTTTAATTGCTCTGCGAGACATGGGAGGATGTCGGGGGGGGGGAGGAAAACTGGGACACTCCAGGATCAAATCAGAAACCAGGACAGCTTCTGTAATTCTGGGACTGTCCCTGGAAAATCTTGGAGGGTCTGGCCCTGTGGACCTTGCAACATTAGGGCGATTTCAGAGATGGAGCAGAGATTTGCCCACCTTAAAACCAGACTGTGCCAGCTGTCCCCATAAAGCAGCATGATTTGCCAATGTGTGGAGCGGCAAAAGTTTGTCTCCATGGAGTGGGGAGAAATTCTTTCGTCTGCGCAGGAAGTTTCAGATAAAAGCAAAAGAACTAGCTGGGCTGGTATTTTGGTTCCGGATTTTTTTTCTTTCTTTCTGGTCAGTTGGCAAGACTAAGGAGCTTGTAAATAAAAAAAAAATGCACCCTTTATTTGTCCAGGGCAGCGAAAGGATCGTGTCTGGAACTCGCAGTTCTGTGTTCATTTGATTAAGCCACACCTCAGCTGCCCCTGCCCTCCAGGCAACCTGCGGTAGGGCATGGAAGGTGGCATAGCCAGGAACCATTTCTTCCTGAGCTGTCACTCCACGCAAGACACGCCACAATGCATGTGCACACGTTTCGATACAGCTCACTTGGCGTACAGAAACTTGCACAGCCATTCCGAGACACGGAGGACTTCATCTGAGCCAGAGCTCGTGGCTAATAATAATAATAATAACAATAATTTATTATTTGTACCCCGCCCATCTGGCTGGGTTTCCCCAGTCACTCTGGGCGGCTTCCAACAAAGACCAAAAATACACTAAAATGTCATGCATTAAAAACTTCCCTGAACAGGACTGCCTTCAGATGTCTTCTGAATTTCAGGTAGTTGTTTATCTCTTTGATATCTGATGGGAGGGCGTTCTACAGGGCGGGCGCCACTACCAAGGAGGCCCTCTGCCTGGTTCCCTGTAACCTCACTTCTCGCAGTGAGGGAATCACCAGAAGGCCCTCGGCGCTGGACCTCAGTGTCTGGGTAGAACAATGGGGGTGGAGATGCTCCTTCAGATATACTGGACCGAGGCCGTTTAGGGCTTTAAAGGTCAGCACCAACACTTTGAATTGTGCTCGGAAACATACTGGGAGCCAATGTAGGTCTTTCAGGACCTGTGTAATATGGTCTCGGCAGCCGCTCCCAGTCACCAGTCTAGTTGCCGCATTCTGGATTAGTTGTAGTTTCCAGGTCACCTTCAAAGGTAGCCCCACATAGAGCGCATTGCAGTAGTCCAAGTGGAAGATAACCAGAGCATGGACCACTCTGGCATCGCATGGAATCGCCGTTTACCTTCCTGCTGGAGCGGTACCTATTTATCTACTTGCACTTTGACGTGCTTTCGAACTGCTAGGTTGGCAGGAGCTGGGACCGAGCAACGGGAGCTCACCCCGTCGTGGGGATTCGAACCGCCAACCTTCAGATCGGCAAGTCCTAAGCTCTGTGGTTTAACCCACAGCGCCACCTGCATCCCCTGGGGGCAAGTAGCGCAAGTGGAAATCCTTGCACAAACGAGACAACTCTGTTGGATGTAGCACTAGGCACTGGCTTTGATCAATAGAGAAAACAGCTACAACTTCCATTATGCATTGTTTTCTGCGAGCATTGGCGTTGGCAGAGAACGGGTTTTAGAAAAACTTTTCATTTTTGCATTCTCCACTAGGAAAGGCCCATTTGGGCTTAGATGGTTAGCAAGACAAAACATCCTTGCTTGCCCCCACCCTACCCCCGCCCCAGAAGTAACTTACTGCACCTATCAGACACCATTCTTATAAATTATGCTTAAGACAAACGGCAACTCAATTAAGGACCTCATTATTTGCCTTGGGCCCAGAACTCATAAATAAATCCTCTTTATTTGCATGATCATTATATAAAATGGGGGGGCACTGACCCGTCATCACTCAGGAGTGGTTGCAAGTTTATGAGGATATCATTGCAATTCATTTCCAGGGATAATTTGTTTCTCTGCCATTGATTATACGATCCTGTTATCTCGGTTTATAGAATGGGGAGACACTTCTCGGTTTGCTGATGCGTTCCAAAACAGAAATCTATACCCTTGCTTTAGCAGGTATTTGTCCTCATTTGCACCACAGAATCTATCTATGCACTGCCTTAAGGTGTCTTGGTAAAGGTTTAACTACCTTCCCCTTGTCTCTTTTTGCCCTCACATTCCAACATGACCTTTGCTCATGACCTTTGCTCCTCCAATGCTACCAATCCGGAATATCTCCTGTTTCCTTAAACTACTAGCTAAGTGGTGGCTAATGGGCAGCACAGTTTCAGTCAAAGGTCTTTCCCATCTCCTGCTAGCTAGTCCTTTTAGCTAGCAAACAGAAGAACGTAAGTCCACACCATACATTTAAAGCACATTTAAAGCAAATGATTTCTCCGAAAGGATCCTGGGAACTAGAATCGACCCCTTGCAGAACTACAGTTCCTTGCACCCTTAAACTACAGTTCCCAGGATTTGGGAGGGGAGGGAGCTGTGTGCTTTGAATGCATTGTATGGAAGTCACTTTAGCCTAACTGCCAAGAAGGAAGGGTGAATTTTCAGGCAGGTGGGAACTGGAAGAAGGGAAAGATTAACCCTCTCCTCTCCACATACTGATCCCCACCACACCCAAGTGTGGTATGTTATGAAGTGTAGATAATGTGTGTGCAGATTAAATGAATGAAGTTCTTTCTTTTCTTTTCTTTTCTTTTCTTTTTTTCTTTTCTTTTCTTTTCTTTTGCAAGAGCACCACTTGGCTGACAAGAGTCATCCTTCCTGTTTAGCAACCAGCTATCAAATGACTTCTCTGTGTAACATAACACACCACAATTTCATTCGGAAGCCAGGAAACTTCTCCGCTACGGCAAGATTAGGAAAGACCTGGTGAAAATGCCACAAAAGCAATCCCTGGAGAATGATTAACGGGCCTCTGAGTTGCTTGAGTGGTGTTGTTTGTGTGCGCATGTAGAAAACTTCAAGATCCTTTTCTAAAAGAAAAAGAAACAGCCCCTTACTGAACCTACAGGTGCACGTGCTACCTTTAAGTAAGCCCTGGGTGTCAGGAAGGTGGAGCTCCAGGCACAGGTATCAATGCAATTTGAGCTTCCTGGAAAGATCTGCCTTCGTGAAAGCCTTTCCCATCAGAGCCTGCCAATGGTCCTGAATGGGACTTGCAAAGCCTCTGAAACTAATGACACCTTTGGAAAACCACCGGAGAAATAAAACACCACTTAAGGGTAATGATTAAGGCAGGTGTCCAAAGGACATCTGTGCAAACGCAATACTTGCCTGTGAGAAGCGGGTAGTTTAGAATGTAATCCAGCTCATTAAGTTTATTTCGGGCTTCAGAGCCATTTTCCTGTTCACCTATGGCAAGCAAAAGTCTTTCTCTAGGCGACTAGGTAATGATGCAGTTTTTAAAATAGATTTTGATACAATCTGAGCACTGATGAGTTGCTTGTTTTTGTTTTTAGAATACTGCAGATGTGCTGCACCGGACGGAAACAAGTATAGGGAGGCAGCTGGGCCAGTAAACTTTGAGAGAGGGTGGTTAGGAGCCATTGCACACTTATTTACAAGATTGGCTGTGCCACACCTTGTGGCTGTCATTTTGTGACATGCCTTGCCGCTAGAGCAGCCATTTCATGCCTGATGCCCATGGCATTTCCTCAAAATTCCAAATGTGCTCATGGGCCCAGACACATTGAAACATTCGCCTCCTGATTTTCCTAAGGCTCCACCTCCTTACTCCATTCATATACAGTGGTACCTCAGGTTACATACGCTTCAGGTTACATACGCTTCAGGTTACAGACTCCACTAACCCAGAAATAGTGCTTCAGGTTAAGAACTTTGCTTCAGGTTGAGAACAGAAATCGTGCTCCGGCGGCGTGGCAGCAGCAGGAGGCCCCATTAGCTAAAGTGGCACTTCAGGTTAAGAACAGTTTCAGGTTAAGTACGGACCTCCGGAACGAATTAAGTACTTAACCCGAGGTACCACTGTACCAGTTGGCAACTGCATATGCTGTTACCGAAGAAAGCTTAATGTGATAAGTCTACAAGGTCATTTCTAAGTTAGAAACCCATGAGAAACCTCATTTGTGAACAAAATGTGTGTGCCTAAACGGCCTCGGTCCTGTATACCTGAAGGAGCATCTCCACCCCAATCATTCAGCCTGGACACTGAGATCCAGCTCCGAGGGCCTTCTGGCGGTTCCCTCATTGTGAGAAGTGAGGTTACAGTGAACCAGGCAGAGGGCCTTCTTGGTAGTGGCACCCGCCCTGTGGAACGCCCTCCCTTCAGATGCCAAGGAAATAAACAACTATCTGACTTTTAGAAGACATCTGAAGGCAGTCCTGTTTAGGGAAGTTTTTAATATTTAATGCTGTATTGTTTTTAACACTCGATTTGGAGCCGCCCAGAGTGGCTGGGGAAACTCAGCGAGATGGGCGGGGTATAAATAAAAAATTATTATTATTATTATTATTACATTATTTTTTAGCACAGAAAGAAGGGCCGTGCACGTGTTTATTGGGGGTGGGGTTAGGCTTAATAAACTCTGGCGCAATGAATTAGCCAGAAGTTTGATGGTTTGAGCCCACCCAGGGACAGCTGTGGGCAGAATTCCTGTATTGCAGGGGGTTGGACTAGATGACCCTCAGGTCCCTCCCAATTCTACGATTCAATGCAGTCGGAGCTACATTATTAAAAACCCAGTTTGACCCGTTTGATATTATTCATTACGTTTATTCATGCTTTCATTATAGACTACAAACTGGATGGTAGAGAAAAAACTGAACAGGAAGCACCTGGTTTCATTTCTGCCCCGCCAAGTTGGGCGCACGCCCGTGACCACACGGAGATCATGGCCGCAGAAAACTTTGCTGAATTCTTGAACAAACTGAAGGAATTGCATGAGAAGGAAGTCCAAGGTAAGAGAGGCATTTTAAAAGAAGATTTTTTTTAAAAAAAGGGTCAGTGCTTAATTCAGGAAGAGAAACATGGTCAGCAGAACTTCTGGTTAGGTAAATACAGCAAGGGTGGGGAACTTCAGATACAGGGGCCAAATTTAGCCCTTCATGCATGTTACAAATATTAAGCCTGAATGTACCCTTTCGACTTGACAGCTCAGGGAAGATACCTAGCTTTAAAAATTACGGTGGTACCTCCAGTTAAGAGCTTAATTCGTTCTGGAGGTCCGTTCTTAACCTGAAGTACCACTTTAGCTAATGGGGCCTCCCGCTGCCACCACGCCACCACCACACGATTTCTGTTCTCATCCTGAAGCAAAGTTCTTAACCCAAGGTACTATTTCTGGGTTAGCGGAGTCTGTAACCTGAAGCATCTGTAACCTAAAGCGTCTGTAACCCGAGGTACCACTGTATTTGGGTGTTGCCCTGACGCATCTGTCTATGCTAATCTTGTGTAACCCTCCCCTTTCTGACATTTTAGTGATGTAGCAATGATGTATTGACGATGCTGTGCAAACTGTATTCTGGGATATGGTGGGGAAGTTTTAAAAGTGAATGTCGCCCCATGTTCAGGGTTCTTACTGCTGTTGGAACCTGTTGCGCAACAATGAAGGATCTAAGTCTATTGACTGCTGTTTTGCTCCAAATTGCTTGGCTGGAATTTCCTTCTTTTACTGACCGCATGGACCCACAGGGGACTTGGACCCCCATGAGCTGGGCTGCTGAGTAGTCTCTCAACCCAGAATTTTCTTTAACAGACACCTCTTCCCAAGATGCACCTTTCACTGCCTCTGCTTCACCACCACTGCCATAAACCAGTGGCATAGGGTGGTGGGCTGACGGGGCATTTTTTGAGGGGTCTACCATGCCAGGGCAATGGACCAGCCTCCACTGGTGCCAGCCTGAATGAAAGCCCCCTTTACCGACATGCTTTAGGCTTATCATGTGACAGTGTCATGTGACATGCAGCGAGGATCCAGAGTCTCATGCAAATGTTCTTTTAACTCTTTCAGGCCTGCAAACAAAACTGAACGAGCTCACCAATGAGAGATGCCGGTGAGTGAAGCACATATTATGCTCTTTTTTGCTGTGGCGACTGGGGCTAAGTTGGACTTGAGGCCATTTCAGAAAATCTGGGGCCGGTTCACGCAATATGGCCCCCCCCCCAAGACAATTGTCGTGGGAACACATTCAGAGCTGTGGCTGGGTTCATACAAAATGGCGGAGAGAACATGGCTGCCACAGGTGCTTTGACAGTGGAGAGCAGTTTTTCAGCGCCTGTTCCTTATGCGCTTTCTTCAGCATGGATTATGCTACAAACTTCCATCAGTCTATTTGTCCACACAGCAAGCATGGGGTGGGGTGTCAGGATGGCCAAATGGTCTTGGGTGTTGCGTTCAGGTCCCTTTCGTCCTCAGAGGTGCGGATTTGAATCCCACTGCTAACAACAATTTGTTTGGGGTTGTAGCTCAGTGGCAGAAGGCCCCAAATTTAATCCCACATTTAAACCCTGCCAGTCAGTGTAAACCAGATGTGGGGAACATTTGACCCTCCAGATCATGGGCAGGCAAACTAAGGCCTGGGGGCCGAATCCGGCCCAATTGTCTTCTAAATCCAGCCCATGGACAGTCCGGGAATCAGCATGTTTTTACATGAATCCCATGTGTCCTTTTATTTTAAATGCATCTCTGAGTTATTTGTGGGGCTGGCCTGGTGTTTTTACATGAGTAGAATGTGTGCTTTTATTTAAAATGCATCTCTGGGTTATTTGTGGGGCATAGGAATTCGTTCTTTTTCTTCCTTCTTCGAAATATAGTCCAGCCCCCCACAAAGTCTGAGAGACAGTGGACCAGCCTCCTGCTGAAAAAGTTTGCTGACCCCTGCTCCAGATGTTGCTGACCTTCCATCAGTCACAACAAGCATGGTCAATGGCCAAGGCTGTTGGGAATTCTAGTTCAGCAGCAGCTGGAGGGTCAAAGGTTCCCCAGGTATGAACAGTACTGAGCAAGCTGGATCAACAATGCGACTCTGTCTATAGTAGCTTACTATGTTGTTTAAGGGTGTGGGAATCTGCCGACCTCATTTTGCTCCTTGTGCTCTCCCTGAATCAGAGACACCCAGAGAATCGAAGAGCTGTTCGCCAAAAACCACCAGCTACGAGAGCAACAGAAAGTCCTAAAAGAGAACGTGAAAGTGTTGGAAAACAGGTACAGCAGTTCAGGGGCTAGCTATGCCAACCCAGCTTTTTCTGCTGCCCACCAATGCCACTACCATCAGCAGCCTCAATTGCCATCTGAGGATGCTTGAGAAATAAGATCACTGTGAATTCCAGTACGCACTTAACTGATCCCCAGAGATGTAGATTAGGCATGCCACAGGTTCTCCATTCATGCTATGCATAGTAATGTAGCACATCTTTTTTTTCCCCTTGACCTTTTGGCCTTACTTTGTAAAAGGCTTCTGTTTTTATTTCTCTTTTCTCTCTGTATTCAAGGTATACACACCTTCCCAATTAGTTACAGGTAGGTAGCCATGTTGGTCTGCCGTAGTCAAAACAAAATAAAAAAAATTCCTTCCAGTGGCACCTTAGAGACCAACTAAGTTTGTTATTGGTATGAGCTTTCGTGGTATCTGAAGAAGTGTGCATGCACACGAAAGCTCATACCAGTAACAAAGTTAGTTGGTCTCTAAGGTGCTACTAGAATTTTTTTATTTTGTTTCTTCCCAATTAGGGGATACTTGGTGCATCTCAGATAGCAGCCTATAGCCCATGAGTCCAAAAGACACACTCTTTATTTATATTCCCATACCAAGCTATTTTAAAAAATTAATATTGATTAAAGTATAAATATAAATGAATCCCTCTTCCCCTTTGAACAGTATTTCAGTATTCAGATTACATTTATCAGCGCAATACAGTCTACAAATAGGCTTAAGAATCTTCTTTTCAAACATAACATTCAGTCTTCTGTAATATATATATAACACTAATTTTTCCTTTACAGAGTTCATTGTTTTTTTATAACCTGTAATTGAAACAAATGACTCCATTCCTTAGATCCACATTCCATTTTTCTTAATTCATCTCACCCTTATTCAATTGATCCTATTTTCCCTTTAAAAGGCCAAACATTGCTGGAACTGCTCTGCCAGATTCCTGGCATATTTATTTTTTAAATAAACCCAATAAACCCATATCAGTCCACTTGCCCATCTTTCTTTGACTCCCTCGGGGCTGTTTTTGGAGGATTCTCCCCCCGGATTTCTTTGCACCCCTGAAAACCTCGAAGCTCGCAAATGGTGCTGGGGTTTTTTCTTTTATAAGTTGTGGCACTCACAGCCCAAACATTGATTCATTCATTTATTTTATTGCACTTATGTGCCACCTTTTCCTCTAGTGGTATACATGGTTCTCCCCTTCCTCATTTAATCCCCTCCACAACCCTGAGAGGTAGGCGAGGCTGAGAGGCAGTGACTGGCCCAAAGTCACCCAGTGAGCTTCACAGCCAAGTGAAGAAGAAGAGTTTGGATTTGATATCCCGCCTTTCACTCCCTTTAAGGAGTCTCAAAGCGGCTAACATTCTCCTTTCCCTTCCTCCCCCACAACAAACACTCTGTGAGGTGAGTGAGGCTGAGAGACTTCAAAGAAGTGTGACTGGCCCAAGGTCACCCAGCAGCTGCATGTAGAGGAGTGGAGACGCGAACCCGGTTCCCCAGGTTACGAGACTACCACTCTTAACCACTACACCACACTGGCTCTCGATTTGGGGATTTGAGCCCTGGTCTCCTGGGTCTTAGTCCTGTCAGGAGTTCAGCCTACACTCGAGTAGGACCCTGGCAGAGACATATGCCTGACTGGCATGTTCTCTCCCTCCTGGTCGATCGTTTGGGAGCTTCAAAAGCTTTCTTTTGCCCGAACGTCACAGCGACCGATGCCAACAGACATCGGCACACTTAGGGATCCACAGAGTCTTCGCAGTTTGCGTAACAGACCTCAGCAACTCAGCATTTTGGCTAATCTACTTTATTTACATATAAACACACACGGAGCACTGCAACATGGCTCCCTCTCTCTCTGGCATCAGACAGCAAAGAGGAAAAAGAACAAAGGACAATAGTCCCACTTCACGGAAGACAGTAGCACAAACATCCTGTCTCCATCACTTCCCACTTTGTGGAGTCAAAACATACACCGTTATGTGATAGACAAAAATCCCATGAATGCAATCACGGAGCAGGAATTCCAGCACTCTAACCACTGATCCACACTGGCTCTCATTGGAAATCAGAAACTTTGGAAATACAGTGGTACTTCGGGTTACATACACTTCAGGTTACATACGCTTCAGGTTACAGACTCCGCTAACCCAGAAATAGTACCTTGGGTTAAGAACTTTGCTTCAGGATGAGAACAGAAATCGTGCTCCAGCGGCGCGGCAGCAGTGGGAGGCCCCATTAGTAAAGTGGTGCTTCAGGTTAAGAACAGTTTCAGGTTAAGAACGGACCTCCAAAACGAATTAAGTACTTAACCTGAGGTACCACTATAGAAGGAATGACTAAGTGTGATGGGTGTGTGTCTTTCAGGCCATCATTCCAGGACAGCTTCTCTGCTCAAAAGATGTGACTTTCTCGTACCTTTTATCATATGTGGAATAATGTACAATAATGTGGAATAATGTACAATAGGAACCACTGAGGGGAAGGTGGGAAGTCCAGAGATTTGGAGAAATCTCTAAATAAGGATATGTAATTTGGATTGTTATAAACTAATATTTGTAAAATCAAATAAAAATTATTACAGAAAAATAAAAATCAAGAGGTGACGTTCTCCTTGTCTCTGAATTACCTTTTAAAGGTTGCGAGCTGGTCTCTGCGACAGATGCCAAGTGACCCAGGAGCTTGCGAAGAAGAAGCAACGCGAGTTTGGCAAGGCCCATTTCCAGAGCCTTCAGCACATCTTCATCCTCAGTAAGCGCGGAGGAAATCTGGTGTCTCCTCACAGTCAGAGAGAGTCGGGTCCATCTCTCTTTATTTAGTAAAGAATGGGTGGAACATTGTCCTTGAAGCTCGAGTAGGGGGATTCAACATTGGGAGATGGTTGCAAAATGCCACCTGTGTATGCCCACTTCTGAGCGTTAGAAATCAGAGAATGCGTCCGGCTTCACCTAATACAGAAACCTCTTCCTCTTCTCCGTTACAGGTAATGAAATGAACAAGGTGAGAGAGGAAAACAAGAGCCTGAAAGAAGAAATTAAGAGGCTCTGCGGCACAGAGTAAGTTCTTCACAACACGTGGTTTTTTAAAATAAAAAAAAAATATAAATATCAATACATTACAAAAGCTGTACACACTTGACATTACATTACATATATTACATACAAAACACACATCACATATCTCACCCCTTCCACCTACCTACCAACAAAGACACCGACATACTGTGGTTATTGACTTCCAACCAGTCTCATTGTGTAATTTTGTCAGTCTTTAATCTATGTGCATTACATATTGGTTATTATGTTTATCCTTTATGATGATTACCCGTACTTCCTTTCTCTAGTCTAACTTTTCTCTTCCTCCCCTTCTCTCGTCTAACTTCTCTATTTATTAGATTTATTTATACTTCTGTCAGGAGTATATAGGTTTTCTATATAGGTTTTGAGATAATCATTAAATATTGACCAATCCTTGTTAACTCTTTGCGTGGTGTTTCCTCTTAATCTCCCAGATAATTTTGCGAGCTGTGAGTATTCAATCATTTTTTCTAACCAGCCAGTTTTTGTGGGAATATTGTTACTTTTCCAACTTTTGGCTATTAGCGTCTTTGTTATGGTGGTAACGTATATAAATATAGGTCAGGCAGTTTTTGTGATTTCTCGTGACATAATACCAAGTAAAAACGCCTCAGGTTTTTTGTTGAATTAAAATTTAAACATTTTTTAAAATTTCATTTTAAAAAACCTCCCAGAATTCTCTTATTTTCTGGCACTCCCACCATATGTGGATAAATGTATCTATCACCAGGCCGTGACGACAGAAGATTTCACCTGAAGTCCGTTAGAGTTAGCTGAACAGCATTATAGAGCACAAAATTGCATTTTTTTTCAGAGAACCTCTGCTATTGAAGGTAACCATAGCTACCAGCAGGTGGAGCTTTTGCATTACTTACGTCTAGACTAAGGAATTCGTAGGAGCTGCAGCGATGGGAATGAGAAGAGAAGTTTGACTAGCTGCCATTTCCGTCGTATCCCTGTTTTTTCTTGCAGCGGATAATTTTGAGCAATTATCGTAAGCTGCCTTGTCGAGGAGAGATGATAACTGCTGAAAAGTGGGCTATAAATGTTATAGGTAAAGATTAAGACTTGTTGTTGTTTAGTCGTTTAGTCATGGCCGACTCTTCATGACCCCATGGACCAGAGCACGCCAGGCACTCCTGTCTTCCACTGCCTCCCGCAGTTTGGTCAAACTCATGCTGGTAGTTTCGAGAACACTGTCCAACCATCTCGCCCTCTGTCGTCCCCTTCTCCTTGTGCCCTCAATCTTTCCCAACATCAGGGTCTTTTCCAGGGAGTCTTCTCTTCTCATGAGGTGGCCAAAGTACTGGAGTCTCAGCTTCAGGATCTGTCCTTCCAGTGGGCACTCAGGGCTGATTTCCTTCAGAATGGAGAGGTTTGATCTTCTTGCAGTCCATGGGACTCTCAAGAGTCTCCTCCAGCACCACAATTCAAAAGCATCAATTCTTCGGCGATTAAGATTAAGACAGGCATCCCCAAATTTGGCCCTCCAGATGTTTTGGGACTACTATTCCCATCATCCTGATCACTGAGTCCTGTTAGCTAGGGATGATGGGAGTTGTAGTCCCAAAACATCTGGAGGGCCGAGTTTGGGGATGCCTGGATTAAGAGGATTCTAGCATTCACTCCTCATGCAAATGGTGCAATTCAGTCATAGAATCATAGAATCATAGAGTTGGAAGAGACCACAAGGGCCATCGAGTCCAACCCCCTGCCTAGCAGGAAACACCATCAGAGTCAGGTGCCCGCGTCCCTGCTGTAGTTTCTTTTTTCATTCTTTTTCCTTTGTGGTTCCACAGGGACAGACAGAAGCCTCTGAGAGGGTCATCGAGAGAAGGGAGCTCCAACCCCAACTCCCCACTCCCCTTGATCTCCACACAGAGCAGGAAATCCAGTGCTGAGAAATCCGCAAGCCGAGAAGCAGAAGACGAGTATGACGAACCGTTCAGCCGTCCGCTGGCAGGAGGCATGTTCTCCTGGGGCTGGCCCCAGTTTGCTCTGCGGCAGGGCTAGGGAACCCTTCTAGGCCCAGGGCAGAATTGCCCTCGTAGGCAACCTCCTGAGGTGCTCAGCGGTGGGGGCTGGCACCCATTGGAACTGGTAGAGCATAAGGCAGAGAGGTCAACAGTAAGTGGAGTCAAAGCAATGACAGACTAATAATAATAATAATAATAATAATAATAATAATAATGTATTATTTATATCCCGCCCATCTGGCTAGTTTCCCCAGCCACTCTGGGCAGCTCCCAAGAGAATATTAAAAACACGATAAAACATCAAATGTTAAAAACTTTCCTTCAGATTTCTTGCAAAAGTCAGGTAGTTATTTATTTTCTGGACATCTGGTGGGAGGGTGTTCCACAGGGCGGGCGCCACTACCAAGAAGGCCCTCTGCCTGGTTCCCTGTAGCTTCACTTCTCGCAGTGAGGGAACCTCCAGAAGGCCCTCAGAGCTGAACCTCAGTGTCTGGGCAGAACGATGGGGGGTGGAGATGCTCCTCCAGGTATACTGAGAAGACTCATTCTCGTTTTGTCTCCATCCTCTTCCCTGCTGAGGTCTTTAAGGGCAACACTGAGCCTGTGGGAGAAGAAGTTGGCAGCCACTGGTGGCCCCTAGACTGCATGTCAGTAAGAAGGCAGGCAGGCAGGGGCTGGTTGAGGATGGTGGGGCAATGCGCCATTTGCCCTAATGTAGACTTCCTGTAGGCATCTTGTTGGCCACCATGAAAACAGATTGCTGGACTAGATGGGCCTTTGGACTTTGGTTCTTAAGTTCTGAGGATGGCAGACCAGATTTGGATGGGTCCTCTACATTCCAACATATGGCCCACGTTGGGCAAAAGTTTCCAGCATTGCAGGGGGCTGAACTAGACGGCCCTCGTGGTTGCTTCCAACTCACGATTCTATGATTCTTTGAAACATCCGGTCCTCTCTTCCCTTCTTCCAGATCAGTCTCCAGGACAGAGAAGCTCCCCAAGTAGCAGGGTCTCTCCGAACATCCTTCTCCAGGGAGAACGTGCTGTGGAGATGGTAAGCATTTCCCTAGCTAACTTGTTATTCTCTATCTTTCCAAAACCAGAAGAAAGAGGAAGGCAATGGATGAAGCAAGGCTGTTGAGACCCATTTGAAGGGCCCGGGCCTGTTTTCAGCTCCGGAGGCCTTGGCAGCTGTTGTAAACAAAATCTACCCTTTTTCCCTTATGGGGTATCCAAGAGCCCGTATAGAGTTCTTACGTGGGTTCGCTATTGATAGGAGAAAATAACAGAGGCCAACCAGAGAATATTTAAAAGCAAAGCAGCTAGTAAGCCTGATCTTTATTGATCTGCTGCAACAGGGTGCTCCCCTCACACGCAGGAAAGGAGGAGGACCCCCAAACAAAGATCTGTCTGCCCTTATATAGACAATTTAAATTCCCTGCCCTGGAGCTCAAGACCACCCCTCCATACATCATACATACATCACAGAAGGGGTGTAACCCAAGACCACCCCCCACAAACATCATACCTACATCACAGAAAAGGTGGTCTACAACAGAAATCTGAATGTTGTTGTTTTTCCTGTCTGCCAGGTTATCTGATAATGCCTTATCTGATTGGCTTTCCTGGTAGTCTTTCACCCTTTGAGATGGTGATTTCCCAATTCCTGAGACAATGGGAAGGTCCCTCACCCCTTGCAGAGCAAACATTTGGTCAGTCTGGGAGTCAAAATGGTTTCAGGTCGGTCTTCCTGTGCTGATCTATGTACATGCTTGGTTGGTACATTTATGAAAATTTATTATAAATAAGACCTTAAATTTTATTATTACACAGCCTCACGCTACTTTTTGAGCCTGGGATGTGGGATTGGACTTGCAAAGCGGCGCAGCATGAGGAGAAAAATGCACCCTAAAAAAAAATATGCACCCAGGGCCATGGCCCCCCTCACCCCTCCTACACCTCTGGCCCTGCCTCTTGAAAATGTTGAACGAGACTTCACCACTCTGTTCAGCCTCCTCTTTTTGCCTCCTTCCCCCAGACAATGCAGGGGTGAAGGTAGTTGGAGGTAAAGCGAAGTAACCCCATCATGGCTCTGCAACTGTTAAGTTGGAATTGTAATGGTTTGAACTCTCCTCGAAAGAGAAAAAGTGTTTTTCGTTTACTAAAAAAGGAACAATTGGACTTGATTTGCTTACAAGAAACACATGTAACAAGGTTACACAGGAAACTACTGATTAATAAAAGATTGGGACAGGAGTTTATCTCATCTGACAAAGTTGAAAAAAGATGAGTTGTGATATATGCAAAGGAGAGACTATCACCGAAATTAATTTTTAAAGATGAACAAGGCAGATTTTTGGCAATTGAAATTCAAGTTCAAGGAGAGAAATTTTTGATCGTAGGAATTTATGCACCGAATGAGGGGAAATCTGAATTCTTTAAAAAGTTGCATGAGACTTTATTGGACTATCTGGATTACAATCTGATTCTGATGGGGGATATGAATGGAGTAGTATCTACAAACATGGACAAGGCACAAAGACAGGTCGTTACCAAGGATGGTAGACTACCGAAAACATTTTTTGAGATGACAGACAATATGGACTTAGTGGACATTTGAAGAGTAAAGAACCCCCTGGGAAGAGAGGGAACTTTCTTTTCTGAAGCCAAGATGACATGGACTAGAATTGATCAAATATGGGTAACTAGAGGAATGGCACCAAAGATAAAGAAAGTGGAAATCTGCCCAAAAACCTGCTCCGACCATAATGCTGTAAGGATGGAGATGAAACAAATATCAACTGGCTCCTTCAGATGGAGGATGAATGACACCCGGAAAAGGGTCTGACCTGACGAGAAGGGTTAAAAACATTATTAAGTTGGAGTTACCACGAGCAAGAGACATTGTCAAGCTGGAGTTACCACGAGTAGGAGATAAGGGAAATTACAGCTATAAATATGAAGAAGAGCTGCGGAAGGGCCATGGAAGTGACCTGAGGGCCTCGGACATAAGGTTACCGGGCTAGACTGATGGGAATAAGGTCTGACAAATCCCGGAACCAGGAGGAAGGGACGTTGGATAAAGATTGGACTTGTCTATATCTTTCTTTTTCTTTCTTTTTATTATTAGAATGTCTCACAAAGTTGATGAATGATAGAAAAATGTTGGAAGAAATTACCTGGCTTTAGTAAAGATGCATAAAGAATTATGAAAGAATATTATGGTTATGAGAAGCTGGTAAGGTTAAGACTTAAGTTTTAAACTTTAAGGTTTATTTTATTATAGAAAGATAGGATTAAAATAGTCTAGGGTAATGTAATGATAGAACTTTATGAAACATGGAAAGGAAAGGATTTGCTGGGATAATTAATAACTAGAATACAAAGGAAGGGAGGAGGAGGAGGTCTAAGAAAGAAGGCAATGACAGTTAAGGGTCTGAAAATAATGAACTTGTTTTTTTTTATTCTTTTTTCTGTATCTTGTATTTTCTTGTATTTTTACTTTTTGTATTTTTACTTTTTGTTTTTGTGTAATTCTTGTATTCTTTGAAATTTTAATAAATATCATTTTTTTAAAAAAAAGGATGAATGACACCTTATTTAGAGATGAAGAAGTCTATAAAAAGGCCCAAAAAACTTTGAGAGATTATTTTGAAATAAATATGAACACCAATGTAGAAAAAAGAGTAATCTGGGACGCAAGTAAAGCTGTTATGAGAGGGTTTCTGATACAACAGAATGCAATAAAGAAGAGAAGTCAAAATGAGAAGAAAGATAAAATTTTGGAGAAAATAAAAGAAAGTGAGAAGAAACTGAGAGCAAAACCAAAGTCGCAGGAGATTTTGAGAGAAATAAAATTATATCAAGTACAATATATGGAAATGATGAATCAGGAAATAGAATGGAAAATTAAACAAATGAGACAAAAAACATTTGAATCAGCTAATAAATGTGGGAAATTGCTGGCCTGGCAAATGAAAAAAAGACAAAAATTAAATACTATCACAAACTTAGAAGTGGAAGGAAAGAATATACATAACCCAACTGAGATTAGAGACTGTTTCCACAGGTATTACAAACAATTATACACACAAGGGCCACAGAAAGAAATGGACATAGACAAATTTTTGAAGACAAATGGACTACAAAAAATCTCCCAAGAAAGCAAATTAATGTTGAACTATAAAATATCCGAACAGGAAGTAGAAGGTGCCATTCAAAATATGCAATTGGGCAAATCTCCAGGACCGGATGGGCTGACTTCTAGATATTATAGATCTTTGAAAGAGTGGCTATTACAACCTTTGAAGGAAGTCTGTAATGAAATATTGGAAGGGAAAAGGGCACCAGAGTCGTGGAAAGAGGCGTACATTACACTTATACCGAAAACAGAGACTGAAAAGACTCAGCTTAAGAACTACCACCCTATATCGTTACTTAATGTGGATTACAAAATTTTTGCAGACATTTTGGCCAAGAGATTGAAAAAAAGTATTGATGGAAGAGATCCATAAAGACCAAGCGGGCTTTCTCCCAGGAAGACACTTGTCTGATAATTTGAGAAATATAATTGATATTTTGGAAAAACTAGAAGTGAATATAAACACTAAAGCAGTTCTGATATTTGTGGACGCGGAGAAAGCCTTTGACAACGTCTCTTGGAGCTTCATGAAGAAGAATCTACAGGGGATGGGGGTAGGCCAAGGTTTTGAAAATGGTATAGGTGCAATATACTCTGAACAAAAGGCTAAATTAATTGTAAATAATGTGGTGACGGAAGAATTTAAGATAGAAAAAGGGACACGACAGGGGTGCCCAATCTCCCCACTGCTTTTTATATCGGTCCTGGAGGTTCTGCTGAATATGATTAGAAGGGACCGGTTGGTTAAAGGTATACAGGTCGGAGCCAAACAGTACAAACTGAGAGCATTTGCAGATGACTTAGTATTGACGTTACAGGAGCCAGAATCTAGTACTAAAAGGGTTTTAGAACTAATTCAAGAATTTGGTCAACTGGCAGGATTTAAACTGAACAAGTTAAAAACTAAGGTTTTAGAGAAAAATTTAACACTGATTGAAAGAGAGAGGTTTCAGAATGAGACAGGCCTGACTGTGGTTAAGAAAGTGAAATACCTGGGGATTAACATGACAGCCAAAAATGGGAACTTATTTAAAGATAATTATGAAAAATGTTGGACGGAAGTGGAAAAAGATTTAGAAATCTGGTCAAATTTGAAGCTTTCACTGTTGGGTCGTATTGCTGTGATAAAAATGAATGTATTGCCTAGAATGCTGTTTTTGTTTCAAACATTGCAAATTGTGGACAAGATGGACTGTTTCAAGAAGTGGCAGAGAGATATTTCTAGATTTGTCTGGCAGGGCAAGAAGCCCAGAATAAAATTTAAGATATTAACTGATGCAAAGGAAAGGGGTGGATTTGCCCTGCCAGACTTTAAACTTTACTATGAATCAGCAGCTTTTTGCTGGTTGAAAGAATGGCTACTTCTTGAAAACACAGACATTTTGGACTTAGAAGGTTTTAACAATGTATTTGGATGGCATGCATATCTGTGGTATGACAAGGTCAAAGCGCATAAAGCATTTAAAAACCATATTGTCAGGAAAGCACTGTTTAATGTTTGGATAAGATACAAGGATTTGTTGGAAAACAAAACCCCAAGGTGGCTGTCACCGATGGAAGCGAAAGCTCTGAAAAGGCTCAATATGGAGGCCAATTGGCCGAAATATTGGGAAATTTTGGAACAAGATGGAGATAGACTGAAACTGCAGAGTTTTGAGAAACTAAAAATAAAGTGCGAGACTGGCTTCATTATTATCAGATAATGGAGGCATATAATTTGGACAAGAAAATTGGCTTCCAGGTGGAAAAATCAAAATTAGAAACAGAACTGTTAGAACCCAAAACTAAGAATTTGTCAAGAATGTATAACTTGCTGTTGAAATGGAATACTCAGGATGAAACGGTGAAATCTGCTATGATTAAATGGGCACAAGATGTTGGACATAATATTATGTTTGCTGACTGGGAACAGTTATGGACCACAGGTATGAAGTTTACGGCATGTAATGTCCTAAGAGAGAATATTATGAAAATGATATATAGGTGGTACATGACCCCAGTCAAGCTGGCAAAAATCTATCATTTGCCCGACAATAAATGCTGGAAATGTAAAGAAACTGAAGGTACATTCTTTCACCTTTGGTGGACGTGCCCAAGGATTAAGGCCTTCTGGGAAATGATATATAATGAACTGAAAAGGTATTTAAATATACCTTCTTGAAGAAACCAGAGGCCTTTCTCCTAGGCATAGTCAGCCAATTGGTGCCAAAGAAGGACAGAACTTTTTTATGTATGCCACAACAGCAGCAAGAATACTCATTGCAAAGTATTGGAAGACACAAGATCTACCCACTCTGGAAGAATGGCAGATGAAGGTGATGGACTATATGGAACTGGCAGAAATGACTGGCAGAATCCGAGACCAGGGAGAAGAGTCGGTGGAAGAAGATTGGAAGAAATTCAAAGATTATCTACAGAAATATTGTAAAATTAATGAATGTTAGAATGATGTTGGATAGTAATTAAGTGGTTTCCAGCTGTAATGCTTTAAGGGAATATGAAAAAAGGGTTATAAATAGGTAAAAATTTAATATTATTACTTTTAAAGGATTTGCTGAACTAACAGATTGAAGTGGAATACAAAAAAGGGAGGTATGAGGAGGTCCGGGAAATAAGTCAAAGGAAAATAAGTAATGGAAAATCTGTGTGTTTTTAACTATTTTTATTTTGTATTTTTGTCATTTTTTTTTTCATTTTTATTGTAATATTTTAAAAAATCTTAATAAATATCTTATAAAAAAAGAAAGAAAGAATGCAACAAAGCCTTTCTCCTCGTCCTGTCTCCCCTCTGTTGTTAGCATTCTTCTCAGAGGATAGCCAACCAGTTGCACGGAACAATTGCGTTACTGAGGCCCGGCTCGAGATCCTGCTCTCAGGAAAGAGATTGCCCAGGAAGTCCCGTCCCACCCCCTGCGAGTGAAACGCCCCCACCCCCAGCATCTGATCGAATTCCCAGCTTTGAAGCGTAAGTAAGAACTCAAGAAATGGCCTCGGTCGAGTATATCTGAAGGAGCATCTCCACCCCCATCGTTCTACCCGGACACTGAGGTCCAGCACCGAGGGCCTTCTGGCACTTCCCTCACTGAGAGAAGCCAAGTTACAGGGAACCAGGTAGAGGGCCTTCTCGGTAGTGGCACCCGCCCTGTAGAACGCCCTCCCAGCAGATGTCAAAGAGAACAACAACTACCAGACTTTTAGACGACATCTGAAGGCAGCCCTGTTTAGGGAAGCTTTTAATGTTTGATGCATTACTTTATTTTAATATTGTGTTGGAAGTCACCCAGAGTGGCTGGGGAAACCCAGCCAGATGGGTGGGGTATAAATATATTATTATTATTATCATCATCATCAAGAGCAGTCTAGGGTGTGTGAGCTACAAAAGCCTGCCTGGTCTCTTCAAGAATATCCCAGGCCTCTCCCTTGCATTTTCAACTTTCATTTGAAGGGGTGGGAAACCAAGTTTCTAGATCCTTTGCTTATGGTAGCATACAGAAAAAGTGATCACCAGGGTAAAGAGGGAAACATCCTTGCCGCTGGCTTGCAGAGGGAGAAAAGGAGGACAAATCACCATGTGAAACAGCTTTTAGATCTAGATTCCAGTATAGCGCTACAGCCCACACAGCTTATTGAAGTGCTTGCAATGGGATGTGTGCTGTGTGTTGAAACGTGACCAGTGAATTCAGGTCCCACACAGCTGTTGGTAATGTAACTGGTTTATTATCAGGGTTATATACAGATTTCTGGCATGGCTTCTATTACAGGCCTGCAGCAGGATTTCTCCCAGGACAAAACAAAGGTGAGAGAGGAGTCAGGAGACTAGATGTTGTTAAAGGAACAATGCGCTGTAAGTTCACTACATCTGAACGTAGCATAGCATGGTGAATCAGGAGCACTTAGATGATGGCTTCACCACCTCGACCTTCTGTCCAGGTTGACCAAAACAAAGTCACTCACTATGGAGTCTAGAGTCATAGAATTGTAGAATTGGAAAGGACCCAAAGCATCATCTAGTCTAATCCCCAACAGTGCAGGATAATAAATGGAAAGTGAGCACCCTGCTGGAATGCAGCCTGAGCCATTTGAAGTTATGGTTCCCAATATAGCACTAAAACTCTCGTTCTGTCAGTGCAAGGGTTGCTGTTTGTGCAATGGAACGTTCTCCCCCATGCATCCCCTAAAACTGTTTAGGGGTTCTCCCAACTGTCTGCAGCAGATTTGGGAAGTGGGGTACACGTGGGTTTGGTACACGTGGGGAAAGGAGAAGAGGGGAAGTCTCACTGCATAACCAGAAGTCCTTCCACTAATGGGACATGTTAGGGCTGGCTCTGTGATGAGACAGAGGGAAGCAGCTGCCTCAGGCAGCAGGTTCTAAGGGGCAGGGAACAAGGAGAGCTATGGGTACCATGCTTTGTACCCCCTAATCTACCTGGCTGCCCTCAAGCACGGTGGAAGATACTTTCCTTTCACCAGTATTGAGGTAAGACTCAGCTGCCAATCCAATTGGCTTCTGTATGTGCCTTGGGGAAGGGCACCATCTTGTCTTTTGCCTCAGGCAGCAAAACATCTTCATCCGGCCCTGACAGTAGTTGAATACTACCCTGCAACTCTTGGCAGATTTTTGAGTAGTGTTGATGACAGTCATGCTTTATTTCAGTTATTTAAGAGCCAGCAAATCAGACTGCCGGGAACTTGCTTCATCTTACAAGGCTCTGAAGTTTGCCACCAGAAAGGAGCAATCCTGCCTCCCCAGCCAACACTTTGCCTTGCACCATCTTGGGCTCCAGAGTAACTCCAGCAGCAGGGAAAGTGGTTTCCCTCACCGCTTACTAATGGCCAGAGAGGCAGAAGGCAGAATGAAGTCACAAGACGACTGGGAAGACCAAGCTGCCATCTTCGATCTCCCAGGCGCTATGGTGTACATGAAGGACCGCCATTTGGAGAATAGACTCCAGTTTCTTAATCATCAAGAGAAGCTCCGTTATTTATTGATGCAACAGCAGGAATGCAATGCCAAGATGGAAGACGGCTTAGATCGCACTGAGCGTCGATCGCCTTCCCCACTGCTGAGGGCAGGCAAGGAGTGCAAAAAGGAAAGGTCCAGTTCAGGAGACTCTAGTGAGGGAACGCTAGGGCGATTTCTTTTGATCGACAGGGAGGAACTGGAGCAAGCAGAGAAGGCAGAAGTCATGAGGGAGTATCTCACAGAAGTACCCCTAGACCTATCAGATTATGGAAGAGGAAGAGAGAAACTGAAGGCAGCCAACTGGCAACCATCCTCAGGGGAAGAGGAGCCTGGAAGTCCGATTAAAAGGTCAGCTGAAGACCCCATCCTTCATAAAAGTGATTTGTCCACCTGGCTCCACGCAGCTGAACGTCTCCACAGGGGCAAAGAGTCAGAGCAGCTCAGCGTGGGAGCCAAGGAGAACCTTGCAGCATCTCTGGTAAGAGAAACTGCTCCAAGAGTTCATGTGTTGGGCTGTTTCTGAACTGTCACTTCTGTTTATAAACAAAACCATTTTCCATTTATGTTTTTTATGCCACTTTTATCCTTTGCAATATTTTTGCCCTCCTACCAGTCCTATGACCTAGGACAACAGTTAGGCAAGAGCCTCTTTGATTTGCACAGCAGCAAATCACCTTGTTCACCATTGAGAATGGATGGATGGATGGATTTATATGCCACTTAATGCCAAAACAGGCTTCTGAGTGTTTACAAGTATAGAAACCAATTACATAAGAATTAAAACATATGCATCCATAAATAATATGCGACAATCAAATGGCACAACAAAATACTTGCCAGCCAATCCTACTCTTGTATTGTACATATGTGTGAATACACTTGTCCCTGCATGGGCTCCTCACCTTGAAACAAGCGGGTATACATCTGGTGGAGAGTCAGCTGCCTCAAGGCCTTCCTGCCCCCAGTCCTCCACACATTTTACCTGTTTAGTATATCTGCAAAGGGCTAGGATGAATGTGGCATGCAGATGTTTTGCACATTATGTGTTTAAAGTGTAGGTGACATAGTCACATCTTTAAATACTCACATGAACAGTCAGACCCAATCAGAGTCCCACAATATGTGTGCAAAGATGCTGAAAGATGTGGCTACATCATCCACACTTCATGGGTCCTCTTCAGGAAACATCTGTCTGCTGCATCAGTCATGTCACCTTTGACTGAACATGAGCATCATTCAGTTCATATGTGCTCGTGGGAGCTGTATCCAATGTTAAAAGCAGACCTATTGAGATTAATGGGTGTGACTAACTAAGGTCCATGAATTTCAGTGGGTCTTGTCTGAGCTGGACACGACTTATGGTTCACATTCTGTGAATACTTACAGTGATGCTTGTGTTTAGCAGGACTTGAACACAGGTCTCATGAACATACGAAGCTACCTTACACTGCCAGCATATATAGCCAAGTAGTGTATATTCTGATTCACTGCAGTTCTCCAACACTTAAGAGAGGGTCACTCCAGCCCCACCAAGGTGCCTTTTGGTGAAAAATGAACCCCAGACCTCCTACATGCAAGATTTGTGCTCTACCACTCAATTACATCCCTTCTCCATCTCATCAAGAAGGAAGGCTAGTCATGTGTGATGTTCCATGGAGGCTGTTTTGGTCCATGGAGATACTCACCACCAAGCATAGCTGATCACCCCAGCTGTGCTGGAGGTGGGTAAGCAGGGGAACATAAGATCAGCACCTTGGAGAGGTGTCCTGTAGCTGAGGCAGGACATACATGTGGACTCAGAAGTGTCCTGGAGCAACTAACAGGTCTTGATAGGCTAGGCTAGCTATTCATTGACTAGAGATCCCTCCTTGTGCGCTACAGCTCCACATATGACAGTCCGTGAAATACACCCGTCTCCTTACAGCTGCAGATGTTGGATGAATCTGCCTTTGAGGATTCCTGGTCTGTGGCCATGATGGAGGCTGGGTGTTATTGGTGTGGGTGTGTTTGTGTTCAACTGCTATATTTCTGGCCACAAACATCTGTCTGTGCCTTCTGCAGATCTCTTCACTACAAGAACTTCCCACGTACAAGCCGGCATCTTGCGACGCCACAGCCGATTCAGAGGCAAAGGTGCCTTTTGAAGCGCAGAAGCAGAAAATGGACCAGCCAGGTAACCTGCACTTTCAGAGAGACAGTGATAGGGAACAACATTTCTCTTGGTAGGTTGTAGGGTTTTTCTAAGTTAGCAGGCCCCAGGTGCATGAAACACGCCCTCATCTTTTCAGACAGACAGACGCCAACAACAACATCATCACCATGATTTGCTCGCTGGGAGATTAGACGGTGTTAACTATTTAAAGGTAAAGGGGTAAAGGACCCCTGACCATTAGGTCCAGTCGTGACCGACTCTGGGGTTGCGGCGCTCATCTCGCTTTATTGGATGAGGGAGCCGACGTACAGCTTTCGCGTCATGTGGCCAGTATGACTCTAAGCCGCTTCTGGTGAACCAGAGCAGCGCATGGAAATGCCGTTTACCTATTTATCTACTTGCACTTTGATGTGCTTTCAAACTGCTAGGTTGGCAGGAGCAGGGACCGAGCAATGGGAGCTCACCCCGTCGCGGGGATTCAAACTGCCAACCTTCTGATCAGCAAGTCCTAGGCTCTGTGGTTTAACCCACAGCACCACCTGCGTCCCTGTTAACTATTTAGTTAGCATTTAATTTCAACTTGTTTGTGAAGACACTGGATGACCTTGCATCAAAGTAAGTGTTACCCTACACTTTGCCATGCATTTTCCCGACACTTTCCTTATTGCCAAAAGTCTGATCTTTTTGGGGAAGTGGGTTTACTGCCCAATACCTCCAAATCAACTGTAACTGCCCAACCTGAATTTGCCTGTATGTGACTGAATCCCACCCAAAAATAGAGACAAACTGGAAACGCCATTAGCCTTTAAGGTGCCAGAAGACTCTTATTTCTGTGGTTGCTGTAACAGACTGACACAGCTACCATTTCTTTCAGCAAGAAATGTAGACATCCCTTGTTGACCAAACCACTCTTACATCAAACTGCACTCCAAAACTTGAGAAACATTTCCCCTAATGGTTGTAATTAACACTCTCAGTAGCAACCTCTAAGTTCTGTGGCTTCCAAAGAAACTTCTATTGCTCAACCGGTAGTTTCACTCCTTATATCCTGGACGACTGCATTGTTTGAACACACTGTGCCTCCAATTTAAGTAAACTTTGATTATAACAGACAGTAGGTCTTTGTGCTCAACCGAAACCTCCAGCACCCTGTAAGGCTTTTCGGACAGCAAGACCAGAAACTTCTCACTTTAGCCTGTGGCCATATCAACCCAAGCAAGCCCCACCTGCTCAAATTATTTGTTCACCTAGATCAGTATTGTCTGCTGTGATTGACAGCAGCTCTCCAAGGTCTCAGGCATTTGCCTCCTGGTATTTTTACCTGGAGATTTCAGATATTTAACCTACGACTTCCTGCATGCAGACCATGTACTTAACCAGTGAGATATGGACACACGATAGGAAGTTGCAAAGGGAATGATCCCTGATTCAAGACAATGAGGAAATCACAAGCTTTTCCTATTTATAGCCCCCACAGGAAAATCCCCATTTTTTAAATTTTCTCTACATCTGTGAGGAATAGAAACTTGACCCTTCCCATCTCCTTCTCCCATCAGTAAAATGGTTGGTTGGCTCTCCTATTATATGAGGGGGGAAAGCACTATTCCTATATCAACAACAACAACAAAAGTCACATCCGTAATTTCAACTTTACTGGCTGAGCTGGAAAGTAGAGTTGGCCTATATGGCTTGATTTTGTGAAGCTCTAGCCCAGACCAGAGAATCAGGATTTTTGTGCTAGTGGGAAAGTTTTTGTTTTGTTTTTTAAAGGCAGCTGTGTGCTGATTTGCATATAAGGAGATCTAATCAAGGGAGAAGGATCTCTCAATTGATTGACATCTGGGTGGGGTGGGAACACACACAGAGAGAGGTTTTGTTTGCTTGTCATTTGAATATTGGTGTGGCTCCTCGTCTGGAAACTGCAAGTCCTCCAACAGCTGATCTTTCATCTGCCATTGTTTCCTTTAGGTAACGGAGATTCTGAGTCAGTCAATGAAGAATCTGACGAGCCCAATACATCTGATAGCGAGGTTTGTTCCCTTTTGTGTATTTTCTCATCATCCCACACATAAACCTGTCTGTCCCCCCCACAACACATACACCAAGTAGAGTCTACCTTCTGGCTAAGCACAACCCATTCTCAGTGTGGGACTCATTTAGGAGGCAACTGGGCAATACTGGGTTTATTTGGCTGAATATGCCCACCTGTCATTCAGCTGATGACTAATTTTTGCTTGCGCAGTGTAATTCAAGACCCAAGGAATCAGCTGTTGTTGGCGCTTGCAAAGTACCGTACTTTTCCGTGTATAATACTACGTTTTTTTACTTTAAAAATAATGTTTAAAAAGGGGGGTAGTCTTATACACGGGGGCAATCTCCCCCATTTTCTTAATTTTGAGTCTCCAAAAATAGGGGGGCGTCTTAAACATGGTGACGTGTTATACAAAGAAAAATACGGTACATCAAAGCAGGTAGACTGGTGACTTTGATTGGCCGCCAAGACCATATAACACCGGTCCTGGAAGACCTACATTGGCTCCCAGTACGTTTCCAAGCACAATTCAAAGTGTTGGTGCTGACCTGTAAAGCCCTAAATGGCCTCGGCCCATCGTTCAGCCCAGACACTGAGGTCTAGCGCCGAGGGCCTTCTGGCAGTTCCCTCACTGCAAGAAGTGAGGTTACAGGAAACCAGGCAGAGGAAACCAGGCAGAGTGGCGCCCGCCCTGTGGAACGCCCTCCCACCAAATGTTAAGGAAATAAACAACTATCTGCCGTTTAGAAGACACCTGAAGGCAGCCCTGTTTAGGGAAGTTTTTAATGTTTGATGTGTTTGTGTTTTTAATATTCTGTTGGGAACCGCCCAGAGTGGCTGGGGAAAGCCAGCCAGATGGGCAGGGTATAAAAATATATTATTATTATTATTATTATTATTATTATTATCACATGGCTTTGAAGCCACCGCTGATCTGCAAACCCCTTTTGGTCCAGCCATGCCTTTACCCAGCCTGGTGTCATATATTACATTAAGTTGAAGGCAGAACTGCCCCATGGTTTAAATGGGGAGGGCTGGTGGGTCTGATTAAGCCCACAAACAAGAGATTCCCCACTTCTGAGAACCTTTGGCAATGCTAATCAAACCTTATGCTCTCAACTAAGTCAAGAGAAGCCACTAGAGAAAGGGGGCTCCATATGGTGTGCCAGGATCCTGCTCCAACATCGCACGTGGGCAGACAAGTGTGGCGACAAAGCAGTCAGCTCATGAGATGCATGGCCTTATGAGATTCAGCTGGCCCAGTTGTTAGGCAGAGTGAAGCAACTGCCTCAGGTGGCAGATTCTGATGGACATTTGAGTATTTCCCCCAAGGCATTCCTGCCGAGCCCCTTGTCCATTCCTCTGGGCTGGAGGACAGAGATTTGTGCCGCATCTGACCTGCCCTGTGCCCCCTATGCTAGCCAGCTGGCATCAGCTGCAGTGGGAGACACTGCCCCATTGCCAGTGTTCCAGTCAGATTCGTCTGTCAGCCCAAATGGCTTCTGTATGTGCAATGGGGAGCACCAAACGTTTGCCCTCTCCCCCAGGCAGCAGAATGTATTCATCTGTCCCTGCTAAATCAATCCCACCAATCACCAAAAGGAAGACTTGCAACAGACACATCCCAAAATGAAGTGCTGGTGCCATGGTTAAAATAAAGGAGGTGAAAGTTGGAAGGAGTGGAAGCTGTCTTTCCAAAGCTGAGTTTCTCAGTTGGTAGAGCATGAGACTAAATCTGAGGGCTGTGGGTTTGAGCCCCACATTGGGCAAAAGATTCCTGCATTGCAGGGGGCTGGACTAGATGATCCTTGTGGTCCCTTCCAACTCTATGATTCAAGTTATGACCTTAATCCTAATATAGCCAGGATAGCCAACTAGCACGGCCAATGGTAAGGGCATCACTCTGGCTAATCCTACACTGTTCACCTAGAACGACCTATGAAAGGACTTGACTTTAATCCAAAATGAGCTGTGTTTGACTTGTAGGCAGGGTTGAAAGAGCGTCAACTTGTTTGCAGAATACCAGAAGGAGGAAAAGAATTTTTCTGATCAGACCTGATTTTTGAGTGCAAAACTTGAGCACAACTGAAGGAAAAAAAGGTGGGGTTCCCAAATGCTACGGGACATTTAACTTACACATCTGAAACTCATGTCTGAATAATTTCCCCCTAATAGGTGATTGGCACTTGTGATGATGAAAGCCTCCAAGCGGCTCCCATGAAAGAAAAATATTGTTGCACAACTGAGATCACCCAGAGATCGCAAAAGAAGCGGAAAAGGGGACACGATTCATTGACAAAGGGTACAAACAGGGGGTTCAGAATCATGTATTGTGAGATACAGTCATACCTCGGGTTACAGACGCTTCAGGTTGCGTTTTTTCGGGTTACGGACCACCAAAACTCAGAAGTACCAGAACAGGTTACTTCCGGGTTTAGGCAGTTGCGCATGCGCAGAAGCACTAAATCACGCTTTGCGCATGCGCAGAAGCACCGAAGCGCAACCTCGCATGCGCAGATGCGCAGATGCGGGTTGCGAACGCTGCGGGTTGCGAACGTGCATCCCGCATGGATCACGTTTGCAACCCGAGCGTCCACTGTATACTATTTTTCATGTCTTACATAACACTGCACCTGTTTACTTAGGCCACATTCACATTTAAATTGCCTATGTTGCCACTTGTTACTTTGTTCGGAGACGCCTATCCCCCTCACAGAGCTATGATTTCCAGAGTAGTTTAGCAGTCCATCCCTCTTCACAGAGCTATCTCTGAGAATTGTAGCTCTGAGGGGTGAATAGAGGCTTCCTAAGAACTTTCAGCGCCTTTAACAGCTCCCAGAATTCTTGGGGGGAAGGCAGTTTAAAATGGCACCATTGCGCTTCAAATGGATGTGGCCCTTGTCCACTGAACTTTGTTTGTTCTGGTGGCTCATTTGAGAAAAGAGCTAACTTTTCCTATGCACAGGCCAGGCACTCTCTTCTGCTCTCTGAATTCCAGGGTACGCAAATGTTTGTCCACAGCGATACAGTCCGGTGTGATAAGGAACGCAAGCAGGGAGGACTCCAGAGTCTCAGGGGCCAGGCTGGCTTTCTGGCAAAGGGTTAGCCCAAGCCAACCTGGGAGGGAGAAGAGAGTAGGAGAAAGGCTTTGCAACACGTAAATTGAGTAGGTGCACTAGGTACACAGTTCAGTGTTTGCTTAGCCTTTCCGGAGAAATGTTATTGACTTGCAGGGAATGCATTTTTCACAAACGGTGTTTATTATTAAGCCCCATTCCCTGTAGAGGGGGAAACCTCTTAACAATGGAATGTGTTGTACTGGCATTTCCTGCAGGTGACAAAGTAGGAAATGGATAAAGGTTGGGCACTTGAAAAAGGGCGGAGGGGACAACCAACAACCCTCCCTTCCTCTTCACAGTTCAAATACTTTTCTCCATCCCCAAAGCGCTACCCCTGGCTCTGTTTGTGCAGTCAAAAAGTGTGGGCTTGGCTGTGTGTGTATGAGTGTGAGTTAGAGAGAGCAATGTTGACCGAGTATGTGAGAGATATTGTTGTCAGCAAGGCAGGAGGGCTTGTTTGACAAGCTTCCGTTCCTATCACATTGCCTTTCTGACAGGTCTGATGAACCTGGACACATAATGTTGACAGCTCCTTTTTCTCGTTCTGTTAAAAGGCTCGGCCCTTCCCTGCAAAGCGCTGAGCTCAGAAGGGGTTAAAATTGCAAAGGGCAAGACAAAGGTAGGCAGTGGCAGCAGGGGTGGGGTGGACACTGGTATTTTCAAATACCAGCGCTTGCAAATTTAATCCAGGCCTGCAAGCAGCTGCCCATCTGCCTTTACATTACCGCTCTCAAAGGTAATAGGGGAACACGGGTGGCGCTGTGGTCTAAACCACTGAGCCTCTTGGGCTTGCCAATCGTAAGGTCAGCAGTTCGAATCTGCACAACAGTGTGGGCTCCCACTGCTCTGTCCCAGCTTCTGCCAACCTAGCAGTTCGAAAGCATACCATTGCAAGTAGATAAATAGGTACCACTGCGATGGGAAGGTAAACAGTGTTCCTGTGCGCTCTGGTTTCCGTCGCAGTGTTCCATTGTACCAGAAGTGGTTTAGTCCTGCTGGCCACATGACCCAGAAAGCTGTCTGTAGACAAACGCCGGCTCCCTCGGCCTGCAAGCAAGATGAGCGCTGCACCCCATAGTCACCTTTGGCTGGACTTAACCGTCCAGGGGTCCTTTACCTTTTTTTTTTTTACTGTTCTCAATACAGCAGGTTCCTGAAATGCTGAATCCAGTGTGTATGACCAGGATTAGGATTTAGGACAGAATTCTGCCCCAGCTTTTGCAGAACCTGCATCAGTGGCAAGGATAGCCCTTTGTGTTTATTTTTTTCCAACCAGGAAGAAAGAACACTGAAATTATGGCGACAGGGAAGGGTGGGATGGAACCCAAGTCCAGCACCAACAATCAGTCAGGTTGGGCACCGGCCAAGGACGCAGGGGCTTGGAAGGGCGCCCAACCTAGCTGTGTCACCATTCATCACTCTCATTGTCTTGTTTTGTTTTGTTTTGTTTTGTTGAGGGATAGTGGCTCATCTTTGGCACTGTGCCAAAAGTGCCATGAAATCTGGCCCTCATGCAACCAAGTCATAGACAGGGAGCTGCTCATTTGTGTGTCTCTTAACATGGGAACTGGGCGAAATGTTTTCAGGAAACCCGATCTTTAGACTCCGCAAGCTGCTTCAACCAATACCTCTTCCCAAGGATTGGGAATGGTAGCTGTCTAAGGGAATGGGGGTCACCTAACATCTCCCAGCACCCTTAACGAACTACAGTTCCCAGGATTCTTTGGGGGAAGTCAGTGACTCTTTAAAGTGGTACAATGCTGTTTTAAGTGTAGGTGGTGAGTGGGGCCTAAGTTGGATTTCACACTTGGTGATCTATTGCAATCGCTCTCCTGATCTACCTTCGGCCCATCTCTTCTATATGAGGTGCCAGAGACTGAAACAAAACTTGCACAGTTTGTTATCCCAGAATGCATTGCAAACCTGCTAACGCCTTTGTCTGTTTTGCTCTTCGCAGCCTTTAAGAAGCCTGTTCAAGGCAGGCGTAATGGCAAAGCAGCCCAGAACCTAGCTGACGTGCAAGAAGATCTAAAAGAAACAGCAAACCGCAGCCCTGCTTCCAGCCGCAATGAAGACGAAGAGACATAGCCCAAATGTGCTTTCTTACTGGGGCAGATCCTACCACTTGAACCAGTGTCAGATATTTCTGCTGTGATATGAAGCCCTTCAGTGGCCAGTTATTCTCACTGACATCAACCAGGACAGCTCAAGCCTGCTCAGGCACCATTGCTTCACATCCCTGACCGGCAAGTGAATTCATGTGGACTAGTAACTTACTGACAGTCAAGGCACTCTGGAGAGCTTTACAAAATTCTTTGGTTAATTCTCTCGAGATTTTGGCAGTGAGGTGGTTTGTTCTGCTTGGCTATTCTGTGGTTCCTTTTGTCTAGGTTCCACCAGTTCTCTGGCATTCAACCAGATTGGCCCTGCCATACCTTCACTGTGATGCATTAAGTGTTGCATCAAGAGACAACTGCAATGTAAGGACAGAGAGACCATGTTCTGCATGCAGGGGGTCCCAAATTCAGTCCCTTGCAATACCAGTTAGAATGATCAGGTCCCGGGGAATGCCCCTGCCTGATATCTTGGAGGGCTGCTGCAAACCAGAGACGACAACAGTGAGCTACAGCAGACCTGTCAGCTTTCAGTGACTTGCAAAACATGGTATACTGTTGCTTCTGCGGCCAATACAACACATCCCTATGGGACCGTTGTCTTTCCTTCCTTTTATAAAATCAGCAACACTGCAGGGGCCTGGACATCCAATGTCCTGCAGGGTGTGGATCCACAAGGGGAGGGCTGTAGATCAGTGCCAGAGCAACTACTCTGAATCCAAAAGCTTCCAGGTTCAATTTCCAGCATCTCCAGGTGAGACTGGGAAGACCTTTGCCTGAAATACTAGACACTTGCTGCAATGCAGTGTAGACAATGCTAAACTGGATGGACCAGTGTTTTGACTTCCTAGTCATACCCACCAACCGTATGTATTTTCCCAGGACATTCCTGGAATTATAGAAGCCATCCCAGCTTCTGATTAAATCCCGGAATGTCCCGGGGATAAGCTGGCGCTTGCAGCCAGCGTTGGCGCTTGTAGCGGTGTTGCTGACCCGCATAGCAGCCCGACACCAAAAGACACGCATCCCGATTTTCATCAGGGGGATGTTGGAGGGTAGGCTAGGTATCTGTCAGGCATCATTGGTGCGCTGCAAATCCCACCAAAAGCACTGGGGAAACAGCGGCAGAATAAGGTCGTCCTGCCAGATGCAAGCTAAGAATAAATGGGTCGAACTTTTGACAGCAGCTTTCCTTCGTCAAAAGGGTGTATTGGGCCAAGATGCATAGCTGTCAACTTACAGATTTGAAAATAAGGGACCAGCAGCCTCGAAAATAAGGGATCAGCAGCCAAAATAAGGGATCAACAATTACTTTGATAAAATACATATTTTGTTGCGTGCAAATGGCTTTAGATACCTATTAGGTCCATAAATTACCATATAGCATATATTCAACACAAAAAACAGCAACAATTTGTTGTTGACAAAGGACAGCTGGAATAGAAAGGGCCCCATTACCTTCAGTAGCTTATTTAAGGGACATCATCAATAAGGGACAGCAGCGGGACATGGCACTGGGATAAGGGACTGTCCCGCCAAATAAGGGACGCTTGACAGCTATGCCAAGATGGCGAAAGCATGGTTTGACGACTCCTGGAGAACTTCCCAAAGTGCATCTTAAGTGCTTATTTCAGATATTGTTGCACCTGTGATCCCCATACACACACATCGGAAGATTCAGCAAGGAGAAGGGCCCTAGCTATTGCACATGGCTGATGGGGAAGTCTGTGTTGGGAATCAAGCCTTTATCAGGAGAAACTGGCCACTCTCCAGGCACCCGGCTTGATCTCCTGTTGACCTCCCTGTCTGCATTCCCCAGCAGGATCCAGGCAGAGGTCGCGATAGGCGATCCTTCTCAGAGTGAGAAGAACACACCCCCTCTTTCCTGCCCCCCCGGGCAGGGGAGAGAGATAGACAGAAACGTATTTACATTCCTTTATTTCTGTCTTTGCAGCGTTACAAAAATCATGACTGCTCTCTTCAAACTCCTGCAGTCGAGAGACAAACTCCTCCTGTACTTCCTGTACAGCTCATATTACACTCTGAGCTAATTCCAGTGCCCTCTGCAAGGTGAATTGACTGTCCCTCTGTTTCCCACAGAACAGTCCCAACGTTCCCATTATGTTTTGTTTTCAAGCTACCAGCAGCTCGCGGCTGCATTGATTCAATATCGTAACAGTCTGAAGGACCAGCGATAAGAAACAATATCTGCTTAGCCACATCCTCATGGTTGCCAGTCCGAAGTAGTCTGAGGGCCAGAAATGGCCTAGTGATCTTCTTGGTAGCTTTTGATCTACATCAGTTTTGCAGGTGGTGGGTCCTGGTGACAAGGAAGCAATCACACCTTTGAAGTTAATAGGGGGAAAGGTAAAGGTAAAGGGACCCCTGACCATTAGGTCCAGTCGTGACCGACTCTGGGGTTGCGGCGCTCATCTCGCTCTATAGGCCGAGGGAGCCGGTGTTTGTCCGCAGACAGCTTCCAGGTCATGTGGCCAGCATGACTAAGCTGCTTCTAGCGAACCAGAGCAGCACACGGAAATGCCGTTTACCTTCCCACCGGAGCGGCACCTATTTATCTACTTGCACTTTGACGTGCTTTTGAACTGCTAGGTTGGCAGAAGCAGGGACCGAGCAACGGGAGCTCATCCCATCGCAGGGATTCGAGGGGAAAGGAGCCACACACTAAACAAAAACTTCTGGATCTTGATACGCACAGGGTACAAAAAAAACCTACGTATCGCCAAGTACCCAGTTTGATTGTACATAAATGCTGCATTGATTAAACCACTGCATAGTTTACCCTAAAATAAGTGATCTTATTTTAAGTGAACTCTGTGTTAGGGATTTGGGGGGGGGGGAGGTTATAGCAGCTGCTCTCCATATATCAGGGGTGAACAACGTGGGAGCTGACTGCAGACTTCCTGTTAAAACTAAAAAACTAAAAGAGATTGTGAAGAGCTTCAAAAGGGCCTCTCCAAACTGAGCAAATGGGCAATAAAATGTCCCAGTTCTGTGTAAGCAGCAGTCAAGTGATGCTTGTGGTGGCAATAAATCTTAATTTCACATATACGCACATGAGGCATGAGCAGGCAGTGACTGACCAGCGATGAGACCTTCAGGTCAGAGTGGATAGCTCCGTGAAGATGTTGACCCAGTGTACGGCAACTATTTTTAAAAAGGTAAATTCCATGCTAGGAATTCCATGTGTGCTGTTCTAGTCAACTCTCCCTCAAGGATACAGCAGAGTTGGAAAGGAGCAACTGAAATGTGATCAAGCGGCTGGAGTGCCCCCTGACCCATGTGAGGAAAGGCTGTGACATTTGAGACTTTTTAGTTAGGACCAAAACCAAGTAAGAGGTGACATGATAGACGTTTATAAAATTATACCTGGCTTGGAGAACATGGACAGGGTTTTTCTCTCTCTCTCCCTCTCTCATGACTCTAGAACTCATAGACATCCAGTGAAGCTAATTGTTGGAATATTTAGGACAGATAAAAGATAAAAGTACTTCTTCACACAATCCAGAGCCCGATCTGAAAGGAAAAATTTTGGGCTCAATGAGTTGAAGAGAACCTGATCTGGGATGACCTTTAAAGGTAAAGGTAAAGGGACGCCTGACCATTAGGTCTAGTCGTGACCGACTCTGGGGCTGCGGCGCTCATCTCACTTTATTGGCCGAGGGAGCTGGCGTACAGCTTCCGGGTCATGTGGCCAGCATGACCAAGCCGCTTCTGGCGAACCAGAACAGCGCACAGAAACGCCATTTACCTTTCCACCAGAGCGGTACCTATTTATCTACTTGCACTTTGACGTGCTTTCGAACTGCTAGGTGGGCAGGAGCAGGGACCGAGCAACGGGAGCTCACCCCGTCGCGGGGATTCGAACCGCTGACCTTCTGATCGGCAAGTCCTAGGCTCTGTGGTTTAACCCACAGCACCACCCGCATCCCTTTGTCAACCAAAGGATGAGCTTTGGCTGGCTGCCAATTAATCAAACTTTTTTGGGGGGGGGGGTCATTTGCATGGGAAGTTAGTTGGCTCCTCTTCTGTCACACATCTATGCATATAAATTAGCATGGGCAAATGCTATGCACATTTGTGTTGGTGAGTCCATGCCCTGAATATTTACATACCCAGCAAATGACTCTGGTGCACAGAACACGACTCGTGTACAGAATCCTCACAAATGATGTAGATAACACAGGCCCAAAATGGCAGCTTAAATGTCAAAGCTAGAGGACAGAGGAAAACAAGGTGGCATACAAGGAAATAAATATTCTCTGGCACACACCAGCCAAGCTGTAAGCAGTGCTGGCACTTAGCACGCGGTTCACACTGACCTTCGGAAGGTCATTCATATCCTGTTGTTCCCGAACCACATCACCAAGCAGAGTCTAGATACTGTCAATTGCTGTGTCAGAGATCATGTTTTCCCATGACTACAGTTCTTGATAGTGCCCTGTCCATCACTTCATCCGCTTGCTGTGATCTGTGATGATTTTCAGCAGTGCAGTTTCCCTTGACAGGTTGGTCCAAAGGTTGTCTCCATGCCTTCGTACATTTTGCGAGTGTTGGCCGCGTCAGCAGCGAGTTGGGTGCTCTGACGCAGCTTTAGCCATTAGTCGCTGGCACATGTGGAAATGGTGGGGGCACTAAATCCGTTGTCATTTTTCGAAGGGCCCTTGCCTCTTTTGGTCTGCGCCTGCCACCTAGTGGATACAGTATGGTACTTCTAAGCTTGGCATGTGTCCTCACATAGGAAGGACACTAGCAACACTTTATGAAACACACACACACACACCAGACTTGCAAAATCAGGTTACTAAATGCAGGTTTTGTGAGTGATATCCAGATGCTCCAAACTCAGTGGCCTGGTTTCTCCCAAATCCCCAACTCCCAGCACAGAGGAAGTATGAAATGTTGCAACCTTTCTTTAGTGTACTACTTAATTTTATGTGTTCTGGTTGTGACACCACCAGCCTAAAAAATGAGGCATTGGGGTGTCCACTGTGTTGAAGAATTACCTTCACAAATGGGCTCTGCAAAGTGCAGGTCTAGGATAGGTTTCCTGGAACAGAAGTCAAAGCAAAAACATCCTTCGTTTTCAAACTGGGGTGTCTTTTTTAAAAAAGTTACAGGTAGGTACCCGTGTTGGTCTGCCATACTTGAAACAAAATGAAAAATTCCTTCCAGTATCACCTTAGAGACCAACTAAGTTTGTTATTGGTATGAACTTTCGTGTGCATGCACACTTCTTCAGATAACATGAAAGCTCATACCAATAACAAACTTAGTTGGTCTCCAAGGTGCTACTGGAAGGAATGTTATTACAGTGGTACCTCGGGTTAAGTACTTAATTTGTTCCGGAGGTCCATTCTTAACCTGAAACTGTTCTTAACCTGAAGCACCACTTTCGCTAATGGGGCCTCCTGCTGCCGCCGCGCCGCCGGAGCATGATTTCTGTTCTCTTTTTTTTTTTTTTTTTTATAGTTGATATTTATTGAATTTTCAAAAAATAACAACAAAAATTTCCAAAAAAAAATTTAAGGATACAAAAAACAAAATTAGTGCATAAACAAAAAAGAAAACCCAGCCGCAAAGAAAAAAAAAGAGAAACAGAAAAACAAAAATATAAAGTCCTTTACAATCTCTATTGACTTCCTTTCTAGACTTCCTCCTCCTCCCCTCTTTTGTTTCTTAGTTTTTAATTTTTACAGCAAATCCTTTCTGTTTTTTCATAACAATCTGTCATTACATTTCCTTATTCTATTTTCCCTCTTGTCATATAAAAACTTTAAAACTCATAGCTTATATTTAATATTTACCAAATTCTTGCATCATTACCTTTTTACGAATCATTTACCAATCCTTACTTAAGTCATGTAATTTCATTCAACATCCTTCAAACATTTGTAAGCATTCCCAATATTAAAAAGTAGAAAAGAAAAAATAATAAGTCAAATTCAGTCCAGTCAGCTTCCAACCTCCCTCCCCTGGACCCGGGATTGTCAGTCCTTTTAACCTCGGTAATCCGGCTCCTTAACCTGGTTGTCTCGTATCCGAGGCCCTCAAGTCTCTTTCTTGCCCCTTTCGCCACTCTTGTTTATGATTCCTTTCCAGTCGTGGATGCTCCAGCAAGAAAATGCTTTTGACCCTTTGCAACAAGTCCATCCCAAACCCATTGCCCAAGCCAGACAGCAAATAATACCACTTCAAATTTCCACAAAGCTTGGAGACTTCGGCTACTCCAATCCTCAGATAGCCCATCACCAGACTCGGAAGGTCCAAATAACCATATGGAGGGGGGTCGATCCATCCCCCCATTTCCAAATCTGACCACATTTCATCTTTCCGAATCTGGTTTGTCCCAAGTTCAATTGTCAAGTTCAAAGGCTGATCTTGCCCGTCCAAAGGTCCCTCCATCTCTGAAGCCTCCGTCGCTACAGCAGGTTCATATGCATGTATAGCCTTTAACTGAATTTCATTTGTTTGCTGCTGTGCTCTGGTAACTTCCATCATCAAGGTCGTCTCCTGACGCATCTGGTCCAGCTGGGCACTTAGTTTTGAAAAACCTTCCAGGAACAATTGTTCAAGCCTTTGTACTAGCATTGTCCTTCAAGGTCAAAGAAAATTCTTTCCCACGAGAATAGTCCAATAGTCCTTCTCTTTTAATCTCTCTGCGTTGCAATTTCACTAAATTCCACTAGATGGAATTTTTTTATTTATTTAAAAGGAATAAAAGCAACAGCAACAATCTTTCTTTTTCCAGAAACACTTTATCCAAAATTCCCCCTATCAAATTCAAGATGCAACAGTGGAATCAAAATGTTACCCTTCTTTTAACTAACTGTCGAGCTGGATAAACTTCAGAACGTCAATTCTGACAGCCCGCTCCTGGTTCAGGGCGGTGGAAAATTGCTTTATTTTAAACTCACTTCCGCAGGATTGAAAAGTCCAAATACAACCCCCTTTTCTCCTGCAGTCAAAGGGGGGGTTCAGAAATCTTAGATGTTGAATTCTAGTTCTCTTAAAATTTAATTTTCAGGCTTTAGTATATTTTGTCTTTGCTTTCTTCACATAACAAAAGAACGGAAGGCGACTTCCTGTTTAGACCTTCCCATTCCGAGTCCCAATTAAGTTCAATTTCAATTTCAAGTCCAATATTATTTGTTTATTCACCAGTCTTAAAAGTGGTTCAGCTCTTCCAAGATCAGGTACTCACGGATAGATGTTTTAGATGCCAAATTGTCCAGGAAAAAGGCAGCGCTCTCCGATAACGGCAGTGCGGCTTTGCTGCACGGAGGAAGCAGACGACTCACAGCACCACGCACCTCCCACTCCGGAGCCCGTTACCGGGCTCCTGTACAAGGGAGAGAGCGCTCTCGGTGCCCGCCGAGTCCCACGTCCACAGGCTTCTTCCGCCTGTGGTTTTTGCGGGTCCCCGCTGCGCCGTAGCGGCAGGACCCAAGCCTCCGTGCAGCGGGTTCCCTTCAGTCCGAAGGGAATTCCGCCATTTTCCGGAGGTGCCACCCCGGAAGTCGATTTCTGTTCTCATCCTGAAGCAAAGTACTTAACCCGAGGTAATATTTCTGGGTTAGTGGAGTCTGTAACCTGAAGCGTATGTAACCCAAGGTACCACTGTATTTATTTTTTAAGAAAAAGAACAACACAGTAGTTTGTGTCTCTTCCTTTGTAGTTGCCTATAAGGGACAGGGAAGATTGGAGGAGTGCACCTTTTGAGGTGAAGTCCAACTGCTGGAAGCTTGCAGCACTTGCTGTGGCTGTAGAGAGCCATATGGGAGAGACACGTTTTGTTGCAGCTGGGGCAGATGAAGGCGTCCGGTTGTGCTGCTACAGATGCACCATAGTGTTTCTTCTCTCTGTGCTCTTCCCAGTGGTCATTCCTCCTCTGGCCACTGCTCTGGATGCACAGCCTGGCTGTCTCCAGGCCCTGCGGTTTTCTGCAAGGAAATCCCACACGGCAGGGTTGATGTTGCCAGCCTTCACGTCACGCTTGCAGGCATCTTTGTAGCACAGAATTGGTCTGCCAATGGGACTGGTGCCTGAAGCCAGCTCTCCACAGAGTGTGTACTTGGGGATCTTGCCATCTTCCATTCTGTGGACAAGCCGGTGTAGACGTTACTGAGGCAGGAGTGTGAACATGCTGGGAATGTGGGCTTGAGAGAGCACATCTTTGTTTGAGACTGTTAAGTTGTGGCTGAACATATCAGACGACACAGCGATTCTTCAATAGCTCTTGTTTATTCACAGGCCAGAACAGAACTGAACTGAAGGGTTCAGCCAGCCTGCTTATATAGAGCCCCAGTACAACGCAACTGTAACCACTTTCTGTAACTATCTAATCACTGAACGTCACTTTCAATCCCTTATTTGCATATGTGGACCTGAGTGAAAACTATCTACAGTATCCCAATGCTGGCCCAGGGTGAGAACTTCAGTACATAACAGAGACTCTGTCCTGCCTTGTGATACCCCAAATCCTCCTGATGCAGCACAGGTGCGGAAGGCATTAAGGCATCACTCCTGACACTTGTAAGTTGCCCATGACTCACTTCCATAAAGCAACAAGCTCAACACACAAGCCTGGTGGACCTTCATCTTGGCATTCTCCCATTCCCTTTTGGAGAGGCAAGCCATTGCTGTAGCTGCCTTGCCAACACACCTGTCCAGCTCAGTGTCAATGGAGAGATTGCTGCTTATCATAGAATCATAGAATCATAGAGTTGGAAGAGACCACAAGGGCCATCGAGTCCAACCCCCTGCCAAGCAGGAAACACCATCAGAGCACTCCTGACATATGGTTGTCAAGCCTCTGCTTAAAGACCTCCAAAGAAGGAGACTCCACCACACTCCTTGGCAGCAAATTCCACTGTCAAACAGCTCTTACTGTCAGGAAGTTCTTCCTAATGTTTAGGTGGAATCTTCTTTCTTGTAGTTTGGCTCCATTGCTCCGTGTCCGCTTCTCTGGAGCAGCAGAAAACAACCTTTCTCCCTCCTCTATGTGACATCCTTTTATATATTTGAACATGGCTATCATATCACCCCTTAACCTCCTCTTCTCCAGGCTAAACATGCCCAGCTCCCTTAGCCGTTCCTCATAAGGCATCGTTTCCAGGCCTTTGACCATTTTGGTTGCCCTCCTCTGGACACGTTCCAGTTTGTCAGTGTCCTTCTTGAACTGTGGTGCCCAGAACTGGACACAGTACTCCAGGTGAGGTCTGACCAGAGCAGAATACAGTGGCACTATTACTTCCCTTGATCTAGATGCTATACTCCTATTGATGAGGCCCAGAATTGCATTGGCTTATGATGGAACCCAGGTAGACAAAATATTCTACCATGAAACAGGGTAAAATGCACATTTGTTGTTCCACCCACTTTCACCACTAGCCCCTCGGGAACTTGCACAGAAGGGAATACAGCCCTTGTTCTGCATTAGGGACAAAGTCTAAGCCTGTGTCCCAAAGCAGAAATATTACCATGTCTGCTCCATCTGTTTAAAAAAACTAGAGTGCAAGACAGA